TTCTCCTCATCATGCCAGGAAAACAGGGCAGACACCCTCACAAGGCCTTAATTAGGTCAAAGTGTCAGGGTTACGGCCAAGCTGGATTGCTACCCTGATGCTCCATATTCATTATTGGTTGAATACTGTCCTGTTGAAATGCCCAAGGTGATTCCAACTTTGACTTAAACTTTCATCTGAACTGAATGTGGGCAATAGGGGTTGCACCATGGAAAAGTATAAAGAGTTATTTTGAAGGTATTTCTGAGGTTTTGAAGAAAGTAATTGAGGCCACTTTTTAAAATGATTTTATTAACATATAATAGTTGTACAGGGGAATACATTGTGATATTTACATATGTGCTTACAGTGTATCTTAGATTTACCCTCTCCATCATTCTCTCTCTTCTCACTTCCTCTCCTTCTTAGAACAATTCCAACAGGTTTCATTCTTCTATTTTCATATATGAATACAAAATACATCCACCATATTAATCTGCTCTCCCTTTTCTTATGCCCACCCCCTCCCACTGGTACCCACCCACCTATTTTACCTTCCTGCCCTTCATTTTTTAAAATTAAGTGTATATTAATAGTCCAAGGGGCTTTCGCCTTGTTACTTCAGGTCTGTTTATATCATGCTTTTATCAAATTAAACCCCTCCCCTCTGTTACTTACTTAGTCTCTATTACCATGCTCCCCTAATAGTTAGCAGCTTACTGTATAGTGCATTATATTATATTCATGTTTAGTGAGTTGTTTCAATATTTTTCATCCTCTAACATTCTCTTTTTCTCTCCCACTTCCTGTAGCTCCTTTAGACAGACTCAATACAATTTTGTTCTGTCACTATATGTGTGTGTGTGTATATAATCTTACATGTTTCTATATATACATTTAACTTACAGGTCTAGCTTCCACATATAAAAGAAAACATGCAACCTTTGATGTTTTGAGCTTTGTTTAACATGAAGTTCTCCAGTTCCATCCATTTACTTGCAAATAACATAATTTCATTTTCCTTTATGGCTGAATAAAACTCCATTGTGCATCTATACCATATTTTCTTAATCCACTCATCAGTTGTGGGGCATCTGGGCTGCTTCCAAAGCTTAGCTATTATAAATAGTGCTGCAGTAAACATGGTTGTACAAGTGGCTCTGCCATTTCCTGGAGTGCTTCTTTCAGATATGTGCCAAGGAGTGGTATCACTGGATCATATAGTAGTTCTGTTTTCAGTCTTTTGAGGGACCTCCATATTGCTTTCCATAGTGGTTGCACTAATTTACAGTGTAGAACCATTCCTTTTCCCCTACATCCTCGCTAGGCCACTTTTTAATGCTTTGCATTGAACAAGGTTTATGATGCTAAATACATTTTTAATTATGTGCTCAGGATTTTATGAGCATCATGGAAGAATCAGAAGACATGTAAGAGAGCTTTGCACTGAGAGACAAACTGCCACGAAATTGCTCTTTTGAGCCATTACTGGCAGAATGTGATGAAAAGCTACATTGTGGGTTACACAGGACACAGAAGGCAATCCAAGAGAGGGATAAAGGAATGGCACAGTGTAAGAGGAGGCAGTGGGAGTTGGGTATGAAAGACGGATTATATAGGCAGAGGAGTGAGAGGGAAGTGTAGCACTGGACACAGGTTCTCTGAATAAATGTTGGAAGAGAGAGTTGAAGAGAATGTGTTAAGCAGAAGAAATTGAGAATGAGTGGAGGTAATAACTATAGGTCTAAAGGGAAACAGGAAAATTGAGGTTCCAAAGTAGATGTGGAAGATTCGCTTTTAGGAAGGGAATTCTTAGTTCCCCTGAGACTGGCAGAAGAAGAAAGGAAAGATGTCAACTGCAGTATATAATACTGTGCCCAACGAGGTGTATTCGGGAGTTCACACGAGATGGCCTCAGCTCTTGTCCTTTATAAAGGTTCTGGGACCACCTCTTAACCATGGTGGGAAGAAGAGTGCAGGGCTGAGGAGAAAGGAGCTAGTCCAGAGTGCAATCATGGAGTACTGGGTACCAGGTTTAGAGGAAACCTGAATAAAAGTCTCACCAAGAAGCAAGTAGGCCAGGTTAAAGCCAAACAAATTCTCTTATCCTCAACCAGTGTTTACTGAGAACTTGTCCTCGTTCCTTCATTCAGCAGTCATTTAGTTAGCACCTACTGTACATCAGATGGAAAGACAAATCTACTCAGAAAAAAATACTACAGATCTGTTAAAAAGAGAGGGACACATGAAGCCAAGTCTAATCACAGTCCATTCAGTGTGATACCTGCTGTAATGAAGGCTTATTCAATGCTGTAACTGGCATATGAGTGAACCCCGAATCAGGGGAAAACTTCACAGACTGGGCTCTGATGGAAGTGGACCTTTAAGGCCTGAGGAAAGAATGAGAAAGGGTGACAAAGACAGTCCATGCAGAAAGAATAAGATTAGTGTGGGAGAGAGCAAGCTGTGTTTGGGGAGGTTTTCAGTGATCCTGTAGGTGGAACAAGGAGCCAAAGAGAATAGAGATGATAGGATATTTATTTACCATATTTACCTCCAACATTCTTTGGCAAAAGTAACAAATAGGCAGAAGTATAAACAAACATATGGATGTATATACCTTTACCTATTAAGTAAGTTAACACAAGTGTGTAATTATTCCAGCAGTGACTCCTAAAATTTGTTCTATGTTCCTGTGGTGAAAATGCTTAAAAATTTATTCTTGAGTCTTATCAGTACAATACTGAGAAATGTTAGTACACTTATTTTGAGTCAACTTGCAGTATTTTATTTTGGAAAACTTGTTTTGCAATATCTCATTTCTGTATCATATTTAGCCTGACAGTAAATACTGCAAATCTGGCTCTAATGCCTTCCAGTGAGAAAGAAGGGCTAGAGATTGTAGCTTGGTGGTACAGTGCATGCTTACATGTGTGGAGCCCTGCGTTCAATCCCCAGCACCACCAAAAGAAAAAAAATTTGGTTGGGCATAGTGCCACATGCCTATAAACCCAGCTATTTGGGATGATGAGGTTGGAGGATCACTTGAGGTCAGGATTCAGTACCAGCCTGGGTAACATAAAAGTAAATAAATAAAAGTTTTATGTCTTTCCTTACTGAACAGGAAGTATATTTTTCCTACCTAATGAAATGTGTGCTTACAAAACATTGCCTGTGTGGAGTTTTAAAAGCAGATGCCTGCTAATGTTCATGATCAAAACAAGGAAGTCAAAACCGTACAGGACCTGCCTCGGCACTTTGTAGATTGAGAACAGGCATCAGTTCTCAATTTTGTAAAGTTCATTTTCTCCATCATCTCCAGGGATGGGTGTCACTCCACCACACTTGTAATTTAATTCTGGGCTTTTGAGTTAGCAACGTGAACAGTTATGCTGTGGTAATTGTGCAGGTGTGTGTCAAGCAGCTGGCATTAGCATTTTTATCCACTGTAAATCATATTGCACACTTACTGCATTAGCTTCTGGCTCCTTTGAGAGGACCTAGTATTCAGCATACTTAGGTTTTTAAAAGAAACATCCTGGGTTTTTTGTTGTTGTTTTTGTGTTAAAACCCCATTTGTTTTCTTTTTCCTTCCCAACATTATGACATTTGTTATTCCCAGAACTGATACAGGGACTGCACTGATGAGAAAGGTAGAGCAATTAATACCAGTTAATTCTGGAAAAACAAAAGATGTCATATCTGATGTACCCCAACGAGTAAGTTTGTATTTTTTCTATTTCTAAATCTAAAAGGGTTATTTGCTTTTTCAGTTGAACTCTAATGACCCCATCTATTCATTTTGGATTTCAGCTGGCTTTAATTTCTGTTGTATTTGAATGAAGAATCAGGAAATTCTGTGGGTATTACGTGTTAAATGGTTATGAACTATTTTGAGATTACAGAGACACATCACAAGCCGAGCATGGTGTGCACACCTATAAACCTATATAATCTCAGCACTTGGGAGGCTAAGGCAGGAGGATTGACATTCAAGGCTGGCGGGAGCTGCATAGAAACCCTGTCTCAAAAAAAAAGAGACATGTAACATATACTGCTACTATGTTTCAAACTGGCATTTTCCTGTTTTCCACTCTCTGTAAACTTTTTCAAGTACCTCATGATTTGCATATAAGACATCCAAGAAAAAAACAAACAAACTGTACTTCCTTTGGTATTCATGCCGTGCGTAAGCGTACCCGAATCTGATTTTCTTTAATAAAAAGGAGGAGAAGAAAGAGTGAGCATCAATATCGGCAGAGCCAGACACCATGGAGGTTGCAAGATGATACCGTTCACAGGCTCTGCCCCCGGAGCTAAACATAACATTATACAAATGAACAAACGAGAAGTTATTGGGGTCAAGACAGAAAGGAATAAGATGCTGTAAGCACTGATGCTAGTCAGTGCTTGCTGTCAGGGGAAGTCACTGTGGACTGGGTGTTCAGGTTTTTGGGGGAAGAGAGAGAGGTTTCCAGAGGCTCAGGGGTTTAGAGTGACAAGGAGGATTTGCCTTGTGGTCTGGAGTGAGCAGGAAGATGCCTGTGGCATATGTTGGTCCTCCTGTCCCCTGCTTCAAGGTAGGCATTTGCAGTCCTGGATGTGGAATCTGGGGATGGGGATGGCAGGAATGGAAGGCCATCATGGGTCATAACCACTGCCCACACCCAGAATTACTGACACTAGGCATTTAAAGAATATAAGGATATTGTACCCATCACACACTCACAAAACTTCACATGTCCCTGGGTTGTGCTTATTATCACTGAGAATATCAGCAAGCTGTTCTTTAGAGTCATTATTTTCTGCTTGGTAGAAGTTGTTCAGCATGTCTAAATGCCTAATGTGCCTGTCTTACCTAATTTGAAATAAATGAATTCTCACATTTTCCATTAATGGCAGTGACAGGTGTACTGAATTTAATTCAGGCTCCTTGAATTTAAGATATGCAAATTTCATTTATTGAAAATATGTCAATCTTAAAGGAGATTCGGCCTTACCTATATTGTTTCCTTTTTTAGACAAATGGACACTTACCTGGGAATGGAGATGTGTATCAGGAAAGGCTAGCACGCTTAGAAAATGATAAAGAATCCCTCGTTCTTCAGGCAAGTGTTTTGTAAATGTGATTCTTTTTTCATGAGATGCAGTTGGCCTTCCCATCTTAGATAAAAAATATTTGGAAAAATTGCATCTGTACTAAACATGTGCAGACTTTTTTCTAGTCATTAGTCCCTAAAAAATAGTATAACAACTCTTTATATAGCATTTGTGTTGTATTAGGTAATCTAATGATAATTCAAAGTGTACAGTGATTATTTAAATTGTTCTATGCCAACACTATTCCATTTTATATAGCAACTTAAGCATCTGCAGGGTTGGGTATCTGTGAGGATCCTGAAGACAATGCTGCAGATACTAAGAAAATACTGTACTTGCAATGACCATACTAAATCTAGGTGGTAAATTCAGATGCTTACAGAAACCAGGCTGCTAAAAGCAGTAGTGCAGTGGCCACCTGTATGCAATAAGGAACAGTGACGACTGGTGGAACGTGGGTGTGACAAACCCAGGCCAGGGGGAGCAGCTCTTAACCTCAGCTCCAGAACATGCTGAATACAGACTCAATGCCATCTGACCTGAATTTAAATATATTTTAATATGTAATAGAAATCCAGATATATGAACATCTACAGTATACAAATTTCAATATTATATATTTTTAATATATTGAGTGTGTATTTAATTTTTCAATTTTTAAAATACCATGGGCCAAACAAAACACAACAGTGATTGGAGTCCTGCTTGGGGGTTACATTTGTTTGCTTCCTCATAATGTTTTAAATGCTGAACAGATATTTTTATTTCGATGTTTTGTTTGTTTGAGACAGTGTCTTGCTACATAGGCTGGTCTCAAATTCACCATCTTGCTGCTTTAACCTTCCGAGGGCTGGGATTACAGGCATCACCGTGTTTGGGCTTTATTTTGGTATTATGATCTAAATGATAAATTAAAGTATATTTACTAGGCTGGTGATCGTTGTGGAAAGACAGGTTTTCATTTAACACTGAGGATGAAGGACTAACCTTTTTAATGGACTTTTGGGCATGTTTGCATTGCACCCTGACCTTTTCCTACCCGTGTTTTTTTTGCTTTTGTTTTTTCATTTTTATTGTTCTGGGACTTGTACATGATAAGCTGGCTCTGAACATATTTGTGATCAGTAAGATCTTGAAAGCGCTTATAGAATTTGAATTCCCTGGGTTCTTTTCCTTAATCTCCGCCCCCCACAACCATTCTTCTTGAAGTATCAGATTTGAATAGTCCTTAATATCTGTTTCAAATATTAACTTCATTTCCTGTACTAACCTCTATGCTGTCTCCCTCCCCCAAAATACATAATTTAAATGCTTTTAATCCATGATGTATTGCACATTCCTGACCAGAAATAACTTTCTCATAAATGAACAACAGTCCTTGGATCAGAAAGCAACACGATAAGGTGGGAATGTAGCTCGGTGACAAAGCATTTGCCTAGCATGTGTGAGGCCCTGGGTTCAATCCCCAGGGCTGCAAAATAATGAAAAAAATCAACAGATGAACAGGAAAGTAAAGGATCACTATTATCTTTTACCTCTCAGATTTTTTTTGTTTTTTTACCCACCACGAGTGGTGAGGTCATTGTTTTTATTCCATTCAGAGAAACGAGTATGCTGTGGGACTCAAATTCTTTCTAACTTATTTTACTGTATATACAGGTAAGTGTGCTAACAGACCAGGTAGAGGCTCAAGGAGAGAAGATTCGAGACTTGGAGTTTTGTCTTGAAGAGCACAGAGAGAAGTTGAATGCTACAGAAGAAATGCTACAGCAGGTATCTACGGAGCTAGCGTGGGGAGGCAGTGCTCCTGTTGACCTGTTTTATTAAGGATGCTACATTTCTATCCTTTTTTACTCTGATGCAGTAATAAATTTCCAGATTCACTTAGACTGGCACATTTTAAGCCACTTAAAAATCTAGAGTAGCAGGGTCTTAAAACACCTAGCCATAATATAAAATGTTTATGCAATTAGTATCAAATAAAATGTTATTAGGATTGTAAGTTGATTTTCTTCTTTTTGCATTCATATGGTTTCCTAACTCTCATCCATGAGAATATATTTTATGATTAAGGAAAAAGATAAATATCGTATATGACCTTTGTTATTGGAACAGAACTCATGTGCACTGTACTCATAGATGAGAGGACCTATGACGCAGTGAGTAAAGTACACCCTGGAGTAAAACTTCTTAGGTCTGAATTACTGCTCTGTCATTTCCTTGCTGTATGAATTTTGACAGGTACTTAACCTGTTCCTTGGCTTCCTCATCTGATGAATGAGGATAATAAGAGTTTCTACCTCACAGGGTTGTTGTGGGGATTGAATGACATTAATGTCACATCAGTACCCCTTATAGAGCAAACATAATGATCATCATCAATGTCATTGTTGGGCTTAGGAATATGCAAGGGGTCAACATGTGTCTTCTCTAATAAACTGACACGTTTGGTTCTGCTCAAAGGAGGGTAACTAAAAGACATAGCTTTTTAAGATGTACATTTGTAGGAATTATTATTTGCTGCGTCCTCGGATCTCTGCTGCTTTGCAATCATGAATGACACAAGTTCGCACGCAGCCATTTATAGTTACTTGGTTTTTGAAGGCTTTTCTTAAAACTCTAATAGGAGCTTCTGAGTAGAACATCCTTAGAAACTCAGAAGTTGGATCTGATGGCTGAAATATCTAACTTGAAGTTAAAACTGACGGCAGTAGAGAAGGATAGACTGGATTATGAAGATAGGTTCAGAGACACCGAGGTAAGTGGCACCATCTCTGTCTTCTGGTCTGTCTGTCTCTCTCTTTCACACACATGCCTGGAGGTGTGAAGGGGAGGTAATTACATTGTGCCTGCTTCCTGCTTTTAGAGAATAAACTTTAGGACTGGAGTGTCGCTCAGTGATAGAGCACAACATACTTAGCATGCATAAGAGCCTGAGTTCCAAAACCCCCAGAATAAACTTTAATTAAATTGAATTATTATCACCAAGTGCTAATGGAAATTTTTATTTTGAAACCGTCTATTTCCTTTTTTGGTGGTACTGGGGCTTGAACACAGGGCCTCACGCTTGCGGCTTTAGGTCCTCTCGCACTTGAGCCACACCTCCAGCTCAATTTTAATTTAGACCTTTGATTTGAAATACTCACCTTTCCGTTAGCTGAGGAAATACTTTGACTTCAGATATTTACAGCATTTGTCCAACAGTCCGTACTGGTTTTCTCAGTTTTAAAGATACTGTTCTTAAATGCATGGTTTTACTGTGAGTGCTTATAAACGTATACAGACAACAAGCTAATATTATATAATCATGAAATCACAAGGCCTTTTAGGGATTGTTTAATTTGGCCTTTTGATCTTTTCTGCACATGAATCATTCTAATGAAGTCAAGCTCACTGCATTTTTATGAAATTCTGGGTAGATTCTACATCCTGTGGCTAAACAAACTTTGCTGTTTGTTCTCACTCTTTACTGATGATCCAGGTCTTGTAGTTTGCTGTTTTATTGTAGAGGGGCAAGAGCAGAACCATTTGAAATTTATTCATTTAAAATGAAATATAAGACTGGGGATATAGCTACACAGTGGAGTTCTTTCCTAACATGGAAAATCTTGGTTATATTTCTTGCTTCCCAGTAGCAAACAGAAATCCCTAACCTGGTTCATGATCTAGTCTTAAAGTTCTTTTGTCAATCCATTTTTATGAATGTATACCTCATTGGATTGAGACTAGAGATCTTAAACAGAACTTAGAAAGTTACCCAGTTCTTTATAATTCATGCTTTTGTGCCTTCTTTAAAACTCCACTCAGACATTTTCCTCTATTCTGTCATTCCCCAGCCTCATGGTTGTTGCCTAACAGAACTCAGTCAAAGGCTGGGGGCATAACTCAAGTAGCAGAACATCTGCCTAGCAAGTGTGAAGCTCTGAGTTCAAACCCCAGTACCCCCAGAAAAAAGAAAAAAACTCAGTCAACAAGTAGCCAACATGACAATGGAGCTAGTTCTGCTATAGAGGAAGAAGTTCCAGTATACCAGGATCAAGAGTAGGCCTTCTACATTGTGTCTGCAAAGTTAGAGGACTTCTTAACTTACAGGACTGTTGATAGTTTAATTTGGGTACAAGATGTTAAACAAGCATTGGGACTAAATTGCAGTGGATGTTCTGTGAGTTTTTGGTAAGATTCCAGAACAATGTACAGTCTGTATGTACATTTTGTATGAGACATTTTTCCCTTGCCTCTTCCTCACTTCACTCACATGTTCTCCTTCATGTGCCTTGTGGTGTTGTCATCTCACTTTCTAGTACACAAGCCCCATCATTTTGTTAAGTGTTCAGTACTGTGGTAAATTGTAGTATGTACGTATCCACAGACTGTAGAACAGTGGTAAGCATTGTGATGTTATATCCAAGAGCAATTAAAATTCTCTCCAAAATGTTCCTGTGATTGTTCCCATAATAGGAATAAAATGTTTTCCCAGCTTTTATAGGAATCACAAATCCTTCAACTTTGCCTAGAATTTTAGATTATCTAGATGTTAATTTCTAAGAGAAATTGAGGTGGGGAAGAAATATAGGCATTTCCAGAAGACGGCCGGTGAAAGACGTTAAATGTCACAACACTTGAAAGTCTCAGTAATTGCTGGCGATAGTTAGGTCGTTCAACACTGCCCTCTGCTGGCAAGAGCACAGCTGTCAGGAATGGAATTGCTCTGGGAAGCCTTCAGGGTTCTCTGAAAGGGAAAGGAAATGAATTCTTCCTCTCTTTTGTTGTGTTGTTTTGTTTCTTGCAGTGCTGGGGATGGAACCCAGGGCCTTGCACATGCTAGGCAAGCACTCTGCCACTTGGCTACACCTCCAGCCCAGGGATCTTTAGGACTTATTCTTCTGATAAGAAGTTAATTGAAGTAACTTGCATTCCATTTTTAAAGACTTTTGCATTAAGGAACTGTTGTCAGATTTTCCAGCTTGTGTTATCATGGGAAGATGTGACTTCTTCCAAGTGGGGAATTAGATTCATATTTAAAGTATTGCTGTTTCAAAAACAGCAGAAAAATGATACCAGTGTATAATCCTGTTTTCTTCAGTTGTTTGTTCTTTGCAAACTGCCACAAAGGGAAGTAGTAAAATGTACAGAAGTGTCAGATAGGAATTCAAAGCTGTTCCCTTAACAATAAGAAAGTAGGAAATATACACTAAAAATATCAGATGAAAGAAGATCACACTCCTTATTCAAGGATGATTGATTAATAAAAGCTGGGTTTTTTTTTTTTTCTTTGAATTTGAGTTCTGAACTGATAAATAAGGAATTGTATGGCTGGAGATTTGGTTCAGTGGGAGAATGCTTGACTAGCATTCACAAAGCCCTGGATTTGACCCACAGCATTGCAAATAAAAATAATAATAATAAATCATAACTAAAATATTATTGAATAATATCAAATAGTTCTTGACCTCATGTGAAAGAAAGAAGTAGATTTCTTCTTATTAGAGCCTTGTATGATTGTTAACAGGCAATTACATAGGGTAGGTAACACTTTTATACATTTCACAAGAGCCAGTGGGTTTACTGAGAAGCATATTTCTTTGTAGTGACCTTTTCCTAGCTTTTATGAGCTTGAGTCCTAACAGTTGGGAGCTTAGACTAATCACTGTTAACAAAGTTGTGTTTCTTACAGCATTGTTCAACTCATTTCTTGTTGTTTTGTTTGGGTTTTTTTTTTTTATACTATTACACTCTATGAATTTAAAGGAATAAATGTAAAAACAGAGGAGCCAAAACTTTAGCCATTGGAGGGAACTTTGTGGTATGTAGTATTAAAAAAAGAAAGGAAAAAAAGTTTGCTACACAGTGTATCTGAGCTGTCTTTTGAAAGAGTATTGTTTTATATTCTAATTTTCTTTTTCCTACTCTCTTGACTCTGAAAAAAAATATATACAACTTTATCAGACTACTTAGGTGAGTGTTACAGGCAAATTAGATGCGTTTAAACGGCAGTAGAAAAGGAGTCATAGTCTACTGTGGAAACGTTGGATTGTTTTCTTTTCCAGTCTTCAAATATAAAATTGTATTGTGATACTGAGTATATATCTAAACTATTGTGCTTTCATCCATCTCCAACTTGAGAATCTGTGGTGTAAAAAATTTAAATTTAAATCTGTATTTTTTTCAGACAAAGGAATAAATTATTTTTAGAATTTTATAAATCCACATGTCACTGAAACACTCTTGAGGTAAATGGCTTTACTAAAGAGTTTCTGTGGTTTATTTTAAAAGACAAGATTTTTAGTCTATAAACATCTGACAAGTGATAATGAGTCAGATGTTAAACTGTGTTTCTGTATTAGTGAGCTTTCCATCACCATAAAAACAATACTGAGATAGTCAACTTAGAGGAAAGGTTTGCTTTGGCTCACCCTTTTGGAAGTTCCAGTCCATTATTAATTGGCCTCATTGCTTTTGGATCTGTGGCAATGTAGCACATCACTGCGGAAGTGTGTGGCAGAATAAAACTGCTCACCTCATGGTGTCCAGAAAGCAAAAAGAGATGAAGAGGCCGGGGTCCAACAATCCCCTTCAAGGACACACCCCAAAAGACCTAAGGATGCCCTGCTAAGACCCTTTAAAGGTTCTACCACCTCCCAACAGTGCCACAATGAGAACCAAACTTACCCTCATACCCTGCGCGTTAGGGGCACTCAAGATCCAAACTATAACATCTTCTTAAAATTACAGTCATTTTTTGTTTTTGTGAGCACACCACTGAGGGCAGAGGCATTGGGAATTGAAAGTGTGTTTTAAATGGGAAGAAGGCCTGGTTCTAAGGAGATATACTTACTACATTTCTATGCATCAGACTTGACTTACAACTTTAACCCTATGAAGTGTTGGCTTCTGAAGATTTCCAAGCTGCTCTTTTGGGATGGGTGACTGTGTCACCCTTTTCCTGATGCTTTTCCTTATTTCTTTTTGGACAGGGTCTAATGCAGGAGATCAGCGATTTGAGGTTAAAAGTCAGTGAAATGGATAGTGAAAGGCTTCAGTATGAAAAAAAGCTTAAATCAACCAAAGTAAGTTTCTCACTGGCAAAATTTTTTTTTAAACAAATGGCTCCACTACTCATCTGTGAGCAATAATATAAGTAAAATAATTTCTACTTTGTGTAAAATGACAAAGGTATTTCATAAGTAAATGAAGTTTTTCCCTAAAGTAGAAACCTTCTTGAACTTAACTTAATAAGGCTTAACTAACTTGCCATTTCTAAATTATCTAACCTCCTTTATAAACTGATTCTATTTTCTTGGTTATTTAGCTTGTCTTTTTCTATCTAGTTTTCTTTTACTCCTCTGTCTCTCTACCAGTCTTTAATGGCCAAACTTTCTAGCATGAAAATCAAGGTGGGTCAGATGCAGTATGAAAAGCAGCGGATGGAACAAAAGTGGGAGTCACTGAAGGTGCAGTAGACTTTGGTGATGGGCTTCATGTCGTTGCTTTCTGGCTTGTGTCGTTTTGCTGTGGTGATGTCTTTAGTGCCATGTGCATTCATTTTCTATGTGTGTGACCTGTTTATTAAAATGTGACCAACACTGACTAAAGGGACAATGAAATCCCTAATATTGTTTCCAGAAACATCTGAAATAATTACTGAAAATAATAAACAGGCAAAATAAAATCATTAGCTTATAAATTAAGTTTTAACCTTTTTAGGCTGTCTGAGCTCCAAGAATCATAAAATAATTGTAAACATTTACCTGTGAAAGAAATATATTTCTTATATCAACAGTAGCATTGCATAGCTCTGTTTTCTGTGTTAAATACAACCAACAAAATGTAGGCTTGCTAATGCTAGTTCTTTACTAAAGTGAAATTGAAATTGAAAATGTTAGCAAACAGTTCAATGGGCTCAGAAGCTTTTTTAGTTAAATAGTTTAAATAAAGAGGGCTTAAGTATCTGCTTTCTAGATACATTTTTCCCTGTCATTGTCGGAGATTCTGTCCTTTTACTTAGTGATGAGGATGGATTATTTAGTCCCCTGATTTGGCTAAAGTTTTTGTGATTTGTTGCTTTGCCTACTCATTAAGCTCAGAGCTCATCCCAGAAGCATGACTGCCATCATGAAATGCTGAGTGAACACCAAGCCTTTTCCAATTTGCATCTTATTTTGCTTTTATGACACTAAGTATCTGAATTTGATCATCTTCTTTGATTAAAACTTGATCAGATCTAGAATTTAGGGCAATCCTATTATACTTTAAAAGATTTCTTTTTTATTTATTCACAGATCTGCTATTATTATACCATAATAATTATAAAGTGGACATACATTAATAGTCTTGCTTCCTGTTTAACCATCTAATTTCTGATATTTGTGTCTAAATTCTTACAGATTTTGTTTTAGTCGCATAATCTAATTATTGATTTAAGGAGCTAATAGGCTCCTTAAATATTCCCTGGAGTCATAAACTACTATTCTAAAATGAATTTACAATTTGTAGGATGAACTGGCATCTTTAAAGGAGCAACTGGAAGAGAAAGAATCTGAAGTAAAAAGGCTGCAAGAAAAACTGGTTTGCAAGCTGAAAGGAGAAGGGATCGAAATTCTTGATAGAGGTAAGAATGTCAGTTCAACATGTATTATCTTTATTGAAATTCTCAAAGTCTAGGAAGAAGCTGGTGTTAGTCAGTGTGTAATTTTAGCATCAAAAGGAAGAGTAGCAGAGCCACCTAGGCTCTATGGAAATTCTTAAGACCATACTGCAAGGGAATCTGTAAACTTGCTCTTCAGCAGCTGGAGAAGAGCAGTGTTGTACTTTTTTGGGTGATTATTTTAGATTAGTACATTGTAAATTCTCATCACAAGAACACAAATTGCAATTTCAAAAGAATTAATAGAGGACTGGGGATGTGGCTCAGTCGCAGAGTGCCAGCCTAGCATACGAGAAGCCCTGGGTTCTGTCCCCAGCACTACAAAATAATAATTAATTAAAAATTACTACATTGACCTGGGCACTGGTGGCTCATGCCTGTAATCCTCAGGAGCAGAGTTCAGGAGTATTGTGGTTCGAAGCCAGCCTGGGCAAACAGTTCAAGAGACCCTATCTCAAAAAATCCTGTCACAAAAAGGGGCTGGTGGAATGGCTCAAGGAGTAGGCCCTGAGTTCAAACCCCAGTACCACAAAAAAAAGAAAATAGATTACTGTGTTCCAAGATTATTTTCTTCTGAACTGAACTTGAGGCAATATAAAGGATTTAGAAAGGAGCCCTACTCTTTCAAGAGAAAAGAAGAATGGCTCTATGTCTTTGGGAAATCAATGAAAATGTCCTAGAAAAGAAGAATTGCTCTGTGTCTTTGGAAAATCAGTGAAAACTTCTTACCATGGGCTGAGCCCTCAACCTTTTAGAAAATAAAAGTAGGCTCATTCTGTTTCTGGAAAAATGTGTGAATTTATCCATTTTTTTCATAATTGAGAAGGTTGGCTCTAATATATGGTTTGTAATTCCTAATAGTTATACATGATAGAAAATAACTTGAATGAAATGTACTTTTAATTATATTTTAGAAATATAATGTGTGTAACATTTGACAACACTAGGTCACATTTAATATTAGGGAATAACCAGGTAAATGCAGAGATTGAGAGGGAGTGTTACAAACTTCATGGCAGTCTGATGCTGGCACAGCATCCAACTGCACCATCAGTAGACTCATCTCAGGAGGCATTTCAGTGTTGTTGAACTTAAGTGGTACATAGGATGTGACACAGCATTATACCAGTCACATTCAGGAAGACCATGTATCAATGGTGCAGAAATGTAAAAATCTACAAGTACAGCACTAACTGGCCTTTCATCACAGCTGGTATAAGACGTGCTGGTACTTCATAGGCTTGATTTTCTCATGGAGAAATCAAGGTTTAGAAAGAAGAAGACTCAGAACTAGTAACTTGAATTTAGGTCTTCCGATTAATTACAGTATATTCTTTCCAACCTATCACAGAGCATTATTTATTGTACTGCTAGTCCTAAAATCACAAAATAGTGCTTTATATTCTGTTTTTATGAGGTTAGAGTCCCTTCATTTTAGACAAAAGGAAACTAAATAATAGTACTTTAAAAACAGTACTTATTGTAATGTATGCTAACTTCCAATCCAATGGGTTTTCCTGTACAGATGAAAATTTTAAAAAGAAGCTCAAAGAAAAAAGTAAGGGTTTTGATATATTTTCATCAGCCTTTACATTCACCAAAAGTGCTACTTTGTTCTTTGCATGTGTTTTAAAGCATTTCTCTCACCAAAGATGTAAAGTTGCTTCATCAATAAGCCGTTTCACTAGCGTGTACAAAATAGAGGTCAGACAAACAGACAGTAAAAACAAGAAGAAAACTCATTTTGCAGGTTTTTCCTGATTTGGCCCATTCACTCCACATAGCACATAGAGGGGCAGAGGTCAGAAAACATTTTCCCTAAGGCCCAGGTGATAGAGAGCCAAGGAGAAAACATTTGTAATCCTATGAAAACTCAGTTTTAAAAATTTGCCACATTTGAAAGATCATTTTGAACTTTGCTTTTGTTTCTTCGTGTTTTGAAGTCCATGATTTGCCTGAGGTGTACATTAGAAGCTTCTTTTGATTAAATCCTCTTGGTGTTACAAAAGATTGTATGCAGGCTGATTCATGGAACCTGAACTATTTAATGCCACACAATGGTAAATCCTTGATGGACTCTTTCCCTCAGACTCTGTGTTATTCGATCAAAACAATTTGCCATCACAAAAGGTTAACAATTGGTAATTGAAAACGTGTCAGTGCTAAATGATGCACTATTTAAAAAATTATCTTTAATTGTATCTTTTCTCAGAAGCAGGCATCCTTAACTGAATGTTTTTTTCTGTTTCCTTTTTTTTGTGTGTTGGGGCTGGAGGTTTGAACTCAGGGCTTCATACTTGCAAAGCAGATGCTCTATCACTTGGGCCACACCTCCAGTCCATTTATCTGTGGTTATTTTGGTAATGGGGTCTCACAAACTACCTTGGCTGGCCTTGAACCTTGATCCTCCTGATTTCAGCCTCACAAATAGCTAGTATTACAGGCGTGAGCCACTGGCACTTCCATTTTTTAATTGTAGCTTTACTTTTGAGTAAACTTTTCATGTTTAAAATATTTAAGTTTTTATTATTCAGGTAACATGCTTTTGTATTTGAATTTCAAACTTTAAGGAAAATCACATTGACCTACTTTGGTTATTATGTCTTGGTATCTGTTTTAAAATAAAGCTTATGGATGAAGCAAAGTCTGTACTATTCTTCTGTATGGAACCTACAAGCAGCTTCTCAGCATGACTACTCATTAAATACTACACGCCATCAGGTTCTCACCATTGTGTCCCCGTCTCGGTTACAACTGAGTATCATTTTCTCCGCTTTTGTCATTGTATGTATCACTTAATGCTTTCACTCGCTGCTTTATAGCTTCGTGTTTGAAATGCCATGCTTTTGTTGTTATAGCATCCAACTCTCATCTTCAGTGTCTGATGAAGATTTTGTCATTGCTTTGAGAGAGGGTTAGTTATTACATGCCCATATTGTTTCCTTTCTCTTCAGGTGACACAGAAAATGTTCATCTTTCAGATTTCCCTATAAGCGAATTTGTGTGCTAAATGTATCTTTTTTAAAAATAATAAAACAAATCATTAACGTCTTTACTTTAAACCACCTCAGTTGATTTCATGTGGTGTTTTTTTCAGATATCGAAGTACAAAAAATGAAAAAAGCTGTGGAGTCTCTGATGGCAGCAAATGAAGAAAAGGTATCAGATAAAATTTAAGTACTTATATGGGTGTTCTGTAACACCATTTTAATCATTCCATGTAATTTCTTGAGCCTCATTTGGAAAGTACATACCCCAAACTCCACTGTTACTGAGCAGTCTTCTGTCTCCCTGCCCGAGTGTGCAGTCTCGGTGATGGCAATTGTGATTGTGGCTGTGTGCACAGGGACTAGCAGCACTGGTTCCAATAAGAATCCTGCCCCGCCCCCTTCACGGATTTAGAAAATGTTCACGTCATCAGAAGAATGCTTACGTTCGGGTGACAAGAGACAGTACATTCTACAGTATATACTGGAAATTCTGGGCTCAAGTATGAACTCTGAAGGAGTTTGCCCATGACACCGTTAACCCCAGTCATGCCGATTTTCTCCTTCCTATGGATATTACTTCCTCCACATTCCTGGTCTCTTTCACATGTAGAATTATCTGTGCTCTCCTGAGAGGTGAAATACCAGAAGACAGCGGCACAGGCTCCATGGAATCATGTTTGGGTCTGGCCTAATACTTGTCTCTAGGGCTCTTTCCCTGATTGGCTCTCGTCATGCACATATGGTACTTTGTCCTGCTAGGAGCAGGGTGGGGTTACGCCACTAGAACAGTGTGTTTCTGTTCCTACCTGACCATCCAATGTCTAGGAGGCAGCAACTGTCAGGTTCAGCTCCTGTCATCAAGACTAATCTTCCCCTGTGGTCCTTTAATGAATAGAACAAAGGGAATTATCTCAATAAAAGAGCAATTTCAAGGAAGTAACCAAACAATAAAATGCCAAAGAATTAGCTTGATCTTTGTTATAACTTTCTCTATTTCTTGCCTACTCTGTTTTTTTTAATCTCTGTATATTTGCTTTTTATTATCTTTATTTGTCCTTCATTTCATGAAAATAAACTCATTGTCATATGTACCCACCCTTATGTAGGTTTCTTCTTGCTAGTCTTCCCACTATTTAATAAAAAGAAAAGTAATTAGCAAAAGTTGAGTTGTCAGTTAGCTTTTACTCCATAACAAACTACATTTTTTTATGTCTCATACTTTCGTGAGTTGGCTAGATGGTTCGTCTGGTCTAGACTGACTTAGCTGATGTCTACGGTGAGTTAGCAGCTCAGAGGGATTGAATCATCGAGGACAGATAGTGTGATTTAACATGTCTGATGATTGGCATCCCACATGGGATGACTCCTCCTATCTCCAAATGACCTCTCTTTCTCCAGTAGACGAGCTCAGTCTTCTTCACACAGTTCCTCAGTCTCAGTGTGCAAATGCTTCATTGGCACCTCCTTGGCCAAAGTTAGTCACATGACCAGGCCCAGACTCAGTGTAATCGGAGCTAAGGAGACCATTTTTTTTATTGGTTTTTTGGCTGTACTGGAGTTTGAATTCAGAGCCTTGTGCTTGTTAGGCAGGCACTCTGCCACTTGAGCCATGCTTCTAACCCAGGGAGACCATTTTTATACTGTGCCACATTGAGGGCATGGGAAAGGAAAATAGGGGTAAGGACAAAATTGAAGCTATAACTTTTTATCAACCAGGATGGAAAATAATGTGAGCTATAGAAGTAGACTGTCTAGGGCTAAATGTCATGCAGTGACAGGGTGTTTATTTAGCATTCATGAAGTCCTGGGTTTGATTCTCAGCACCACCATCACCCCTCTCCTGCCCCCAAAAAAAGAATTAGAATATCTTATCTAGTTGAGGGGTTGAGAAATAAGTAGAAGAAAGAGTAGACAGAGAAGTAAAGGGAGGAGTTAAGAGTGGGGTCAATGAAGTTCCTTATAGAAGGTAAATTAGAAAAAGGTGAAAAATAACTCATTTTAAATGGAGAGGAAGTCACTGGTTACTAATCAAAGCAACTTCGGTGGTGTTTTAAGAAGGGAAGAGCTAGCTAGTGATTGATGATAGCTAATAAAGATGGTAGAAATAGGGTCTTCTTTCAAGATTTGACTTACAAATTAGGCGAGTAATTAAAGCTGATTTTTTCCTGCTTTTTTGTTTCATATCTTACTACCTTGTTTTGTTTTTGTTTTTTAAAGATGGCAGCTGAAGGATAGAATCTCTAAACTCAGAGGTACTTTTTCCATATCTCTGATGTGTATAGGAAGCATAGATATTACCAGCTTTACAAAAGTATAGAAGTATTCTTTGAGTAATGTAAGTAATTCATGTCTACTTACTCTTTCTGTTTTAAAATCATAGTATTAAAGATGATGATTTTTTTATTTATAGGATCAGAAAATAGAAGATCTCCGACAATGCCTGAACAGGTGCAAGAAAATGCAAGATGCAGTGCCCCAGGGCAAAACAGGTAGACCTCAGCTCTAAAGACTTCCCTTCATTAGTTGGTTCTGAGTGGCTGTGGACTTACATATTTGGCCTCAGTTTCTTTCATGTATCATACCCATTATCGCACACTAGGTGTCTCATTCATTCATTTATTGAACAATATTATTAGGTAACTGTTCTCTGCCAGAAAGTATACAGGCTGAGGAGTGAGTACACTATAGATTGGTTGGTGAGGGAGAACATCTCTAAGAAGCTGATTAGAGAGGGAGAGAGGGAGAACGAATGAACATGTATAAAGAGCATAGGAGGAAAAGGAAGTGAAAGAAGACCAGTGAGCAAACATAGTGGATGTACTTTGTGAACGTGTATAAAAATAGAACAATGAAACTTGTTGAAATTATTTTAAAAAGGGGGAGGAGGGAGAATGATGGCGGGGGTGAATCTTAAGATGTATGGTAAGCGTATATGTAAATGTCACACTGTACATCCTCCCACAACTATTATATGCTAATAAATAAAAAAAGAAAGACCAGTGGGACTGGAAGGTATGCACAGTGGGGAGTGAGATGTGATGAGATGACCAGCAGCTCAGTCAGACAAAGTGAAGTGTTCAGCTCTTGTTCAAGTGCAGAGGGATTCACTGAAGGGTTTTTAAAAGTCTGAGTATGATCTTTGTAACAAATGGACCATGGAGGAGGACTGCATTGGGAGCAGGGAAAAACAATCAAAAGACTTGCAGTATTCTGGTGAAAAGATCTGGTGGAACTGGGTCTGATTGGGAATGTGTTACAATGTTAGAATCAACATGGTCTGATGACTTAGATGAGGAGAGTGAAGAAGAAGGAAGTAAAAAAAATAAGAAAGCCTCATATTTTTGGCTAAAGCAATGGCACAAGTTCCATTTATTAAGATGAGAGAGCCTAGAGAAGAAATACTGACGTGATTAAGGGAGGTGAGTTCAGCTCTGAACATGTGAAGTTCAAAAAGTCCTGAAAGACATTAAGTACAGGTAGCTATGCATTTTGTTCCATTTATTACTAGTTTAGCTGCAGATGGGCCAATTGGCTATCCCAAAGCTGGGAAAAACTTCAAGGGCAATTTAAAATAAAAATGTTAGGAATTTTGAAAGTGCTCTTGTTTGCTAGCAGTGCATGGGTAGAGTTATTTACTCAAAGGGAAGTACTGGAAAAAACATGTCTTTTGAAAAGTAATGATGAAACCCTCAAATTTTGAAATTTTATTTTATTTTTTTAACAGTGCTGGATCCAAACCCAGGGCCTGGCATGGGCTAGGAAAGCACTATACCACTGAGTCTCACCCCAGCCCCTGACATTTTATTTTGTTGAGTTCACAAAGAAAAACGAATCCTGCTGTGGACCAGGATTTGTTTGTTTGTGTTTGTTTTTGAGTCAGGTTCTCACGAGCCCAGGTTAGCCTACAGCTCATGATTGTTCTGTGTCATTCTCCCCAGTGGCTGGATTATAGGCATGTACCACCATACCCAGCTAAGATATTTTGGGGGAAAATGGATCTTCCTACTTCTTGTACACAGGGCCTGACATATGAATATCTTATAAATATCTAAATAAACAAATGAACCCCCAAGTATCAGTGTCGACTGAGGTAATTCTCATTGCTTAGCATTTTCCACGCTTTCAAAGGAATTTCTGTTTCAAGGAACACTACAAATTTGCAAGTGATTTTTACTTATGATAACATTCAAAATAGTGTTTGATTTTATAGAATTTCAACACTGCAATCCTTATGTTTAAAGCCTAAGAACTACATAGTATTTTTTTTTTGGCTGGGGTTGTTTTTTGTGGGGTTTTTTGGGCAGTACTGGGGTTTGAACTCAGGGCCTCATGCTTGCTAGGCAGGTGCTCTATCACTTGAGCCACTCTGCCAGCCCAAAAAACCCAAGAACTGTATTATAAAGCATTTGGGAAATAGAGATGAGGGGTAAAAAATTACTCATAATTCCACCAGCATGGTCACTCTTCTGCATTTCTTTCAAGTCCTTTTTTCAGTACATATGAACATGTAGATTTAAAGAGTAGTTTTTTTTGCTGGGCATGGTGGCACATGCCTATAATCCCAGTGCTCAGGAGGCTGAGGCAGGAAGATCACAAGTTGGAGGTCAGCCTGGGCTACATGGTAAGGCTCTGTTTCAAACAAAATAAACAAAATATTAGGGTGTGTGTGTATGTGTGTGTATAGTTTTATCATTGTTGGTTTTTGTTTGTTTGTTTATTTGGCCTTAACGGGGTTTGAACTCAAGGCCTCCCACTTGCTTGGTAGGCATTCTACCACTTGAGCTACGCCCCCAGCCCTTTTTGCTCCAGTTATTTTTGAGATAGTGTCTTGGTTTATCCTGTCTTGAACCATGGTTCTCTTGATCTCTGCCTCCCGATTAGCCAAGATTACAGCTGTGCACTGTCATGGCCAACTTGCATGGGGTTCCCAGGCCCTCCCATATGCTAGATGAGTGCTGTACCACTGAGCTACGCCCATGACCTGTATCTAGTTTTAAACCAGATGCAGGGTAGCTTTTCATAAGCCATTAAAAATTATGTCCTATTCTAATGAACAGTTATAAAAATAAATGAGAATCTTAGGAAGGATACTTAACTCTTCACACAACTCCAATAATACCTAAGTTCTAGTAAAATTAGGATAAAATTCTAGTAAAACCTTCTACTAAAGAAGTTACGGTCCGTCCGGGCATGGTGGCAGATACCTAAAATCCCAGCACTAGGGAGACTGGGGCAGGAGGACAGCCTGGCCTACATTGTAGCAAGACACTGACTTAAAAAAAAAAAAAGATCTTTAAACAAGTGTATGATCTGCCATTCATCAGTATGTAGAGATTAGAGTTTTAAGCATCATTCTTTCTGTTTTTAAAAATAACTGTCTGACGTTACGCTGTTCAGCAGTCAATCCTTTTCATTTACACTGATGTAAAAAATTCTCCAAGTTACTGGCTTGCTGGATATGTGGTTCCTTTCTTCTGTTAGATCTGCTTTAAGAGAGCATAACAGAATTCTTTTGAGGGGTCAAATGTCATCTATTTTTTTTTTCTTTTCCTAATTTTCTGTGTATTTTCAGCACAGCAATGCTGAAAAATAAGCTGTTTGAGTAGTGACTTTATTGCTATTCAGCATTAGTTTGTTATACCAGGTACTCCTTAGCTTAGTTTTTTCCTACACTAGTATTTTTAAAGCCCTAAAATTTTTAAACTAAATTACAGGAGAATTGTTGGAATAAATTAACTTATAGTTTTCTTTCAATCTCGCACATCAATGATCATATCAAATGTGACTTCACCTGTTAACACCACTGCTTGTGCTTAGTGCAGTCTGATCCTGGGCCGCAGGTACTCAGGTGTTCTTGTTTGGTTGGTTTGGTTTTTGTGTGTGTGGTACTGGGGTTTGAACTCAGGGCTTCACACTTAGTAGGCAGGTACTCTGCCTTTTGAACCACTCAACCAGCCCATTTTTTTGTTAGGTATTTTCAACATAGGGTCTAGTGAACTGTTTGCCCAGACTGACCTTGAACTGTGATCCTCCTGATCTCTGCCTTCCGAGTAGGTAGAATTACATGCATGAGCCACTAGTACCTGGCTCAGGTGCTTACAGTTTAAGATGGTTTCTTGAGTCCCATGTTGCAGTTTTTCAGGTGCTACAAGGTAAAGTTGACTCTGATTTTTGAGAATCAGGAAAATGTTTATGTTTGGACAGGTGTAGGGTTGTGGCTTAGTGGTAGATTGCATGTTTGACATGCATGAGGCCCTGAGTTTGATCCCTAGCACTATAAAAAATAAAGAAACTTTATGCTCAATATAATTAGGATTCTCATCTTCCTCCAAAAGTGAAATGTGAATTCTGAGAAGCTGCCGTTGGCTACTTTCTGTTTTGTCTTTCTAGGCAAAGATGGGGAATATGAAGATCTGCTCAACTCCAGTTCCATCTCCACCTTGTTGGATGCTCAGGGCTTCAGTGATCTAGAGAAAAGCACATCATCAAGTCCAGCCATGGGATCTCCCAGTCATGACCTGTTCAACACAAGTGCTATAAAAGAGGTATTTATGGAGTTTCAGTACTTTCTTCTTGTTGAAGAGACTGTCATTGAAAGTTAAAACACTGTTGGTTACATGTAAACATGGGTCCTTTTCCCAGTGAAATTACTGAATTGGTTTGTTCCAGAAGTCTGTCCTTTTTCTTCTTTTTTTAATGTGTGCTTTTTTCCTTTCTTTAGTAAATGTTTTGTAGAATAACAAAACTGCTTATAAAACTCAGGAAAGACAAGCCACACAGGATGGTATGTGCATATAGTCCCAGCTATTCTGCAGTCTGAGGCAGGCGGATCCTTTAGCCCAGAGTTTGAGGACAGAATAGGAAATAGAGCAAAACCCTGTCGCAAGAAAAACAATTTTTTTTTTTTTAGCAAAACCATAAATCTCTTGGAGATAGATTCCCTTTTAAATATGCTATTATAGTCTACTTATTAAAGAATAAGTAGGTTGAGATAAATTGAGATTATGTAAGTAAAGTTATTTTAGTTACTTCTGATGGTGACTCTAAAAGATGATTGAATAAAATTTCTCTATGGCTTAGTTAGACTTGGAAAAGGCAACTGGAAGAGAATAAACATTTAACTCATTACATTTGATATCTATGATTCTCTGACCAAAACTTTGAAGCTTGAATGACATTATCTTGCTGACGAATCTGCATGTTTGGGCAGAGCTCAGCAGGAACTTCTCATCTGAGCCCCACACACATTGATTTGATTGGCAAAGTCTGGGGCTTGAGGCATCTGAAGGCTGCTTGCTTGTGTGTCTGGTGGTTGATGCTGCCTGTTCGTGGTCCTGGCTGGAACTCCATTGACTGCTTGACTTCCTCACAGCAGTGCAGTGAGCATCTCAATGAATGAGAATCCCAAGAAAACTAGGCAAATTTGCTTCATCTCTTATGACTCATTTCAGAAGTCACAGTATCTCTTCTGCTGTGGTCATATGCAAGGAGTGGGAAAGCAGAGCCTACCTCCTTTTTTCTTTAAACTTAAGAATTGTTTATTCTGGAATTTTCCAGAGGTCATCATTGACCTCAAGTAACTGAGACAATATAAAATGAAACTGAAAATAAGGGGGGAGTGACTATTTGAAGGTAGTTTCACAAAAATACGTAACATAACATGATAGACTGAAATGTGTCCCCTCAAAATTCCCCTGTTGAAGTTCTAACCCCTAGTACCTCAGAATATGAGGCTTTTGAAAAAGGTTAGTTGAAATGAACTATCCCTACATCTTTGTGGACAAGTGACATCACCTTGTAAGAAGAAAACGTGGAATGAGATACATTGGTGCAACCATACTTGGAAAACATAATCTGCCATTTCACCTTCTAGCTATAACAGTTTACATCCCTCTCCCATTTAAAATACAGTTGCCCACAGACTTCCAAATGCCATTTCTGCTGAGGCATCAGCCTCCTGGGTGCTGGTCATCCAGTTCAGATCAAGATACAAGGACAGTTCCTCAGGTACAGCTTTTTGGGCACAGCTTCTTTGGCTTTTCTTTTTTTGGTGGCAATAGGGTTTGAACTCAGGGCCTCATGATTGCTAGGCAGGCAGGCGCTCTACCATTTGAGCCACTCTGCCAGCTTGGACAAAGCTTATTGAGTATCATTCCAGTCAGTGTAAAGAGCCGGGAACTTAAAGGTGGAGTATCAGTGCCCCCACACCCAGCGCAGCAGTGGCAGGCTAGACGTAATGCAACTGCTGTAGGCATTCTCATTTAAAAAGAGGGAAAACTGAAGGCACATAGTGTCCCTAGTCCACAGCCATTCCAAAATCCAGCCAAGCCGTGGTGCAAGTTCCTGTGTTAGAGCCCAGGCTTCTGGGCTTTTTGTTCTTCCCTGAAAGTAATTTTCCTTTTCCCTTCGAGTACTTGCTCACCTCAGGGCTATAAAATACCACCTAGGGCCGGTGCCATCTTTTCATTTGTTTTCTCTGTCCTCATGAGTCTGGTTTGGTGTAGTGCTTTGAGCATTTGGAATTTCATATGAATCCCTTTATAATGTACTATCAGATAAAAGCACATTAACACACATCTTCACAATAAGTGTTCCTCTGCCTGGGGTTCCCAAGGCTGCTATGGGATAGCCACTTTTGTCTTTTTAAACACTTCACGGAAAGACAGGCTCATTACCTCTTCAGTCTTCCTATGGCCTCAACAAAGGCTTTTGCAGCCACGTCCTTGGCTTCATCTGTGTCCATATTTTCCTGAGGTTACCTGTGTTCAATCTTTGCTTTCATTATAGTGTACTTTGCAATCTAGAGAGACCAGGAATGGAAACAGCTTTATTGAACTGAGCAATCTTAACCTCCTCATGTCTAACAATACCCTTGGTCATCTCTCCGTACATCCTTTGCTATAGGTTGTAAGAAGAAAACAAGGGGAAAATCTCCTACTTTAAAAAAAAAATAGTTTTTTGTGATATTGGGGATTGAATTCAGACCTTGAGCATATGAGGCAAGTACTCCACCATCTGAGCCAAACCCACAGCCCTTGTGTTTGTAGTTTTTTTGTTTTTGAGATAGGGTCTCACTAACTTTGCCTATTTTTTTTTGTTGTTGTTTTTGAGAGAGGGTATCTACCACTAACATAACCACGCTGGCCTCAAACTCATGATCTTCCTTACAGGTGTGTACCACCACACTCAGCTGTTAAATATATATTTATATTGAAAGGAAGAATACCATTTGACAGCCAATGAGTGTGTTGCATTTAGAGAGCGGGATTGCTGTTCCATGGAGGGTGTAATCGCATATCCTTAAAAGAGTCTTCTCAATGTGAATTCCAGCTTCATGATAGTTTAGTTTGTCATAAATTATTGTTCCAAACTGAACAAAAATGGTTTTATGAGAACTGAGCCAGATTTTAAAAGAAAAACCAGGACAGAGATTTGAGTTTAGAACTGAAGCCTTAAAGTTTGTGAAAGAAATCAAGAAAATGGATGAGTCTGTTATAGTTATGTTTTCCCTGTGATTAAGAATCCAAGGAGATATAGGGACCTCAGGAAACAGGGATGGGAGCTAAAAAAGCTGTCCAAGATTAATTGTAGAGTCAAAGTGAAAAAAAGGTGATAATGAAATGATACCCTAGTTTATTATAATATGACCTGACATTTTGTAAACTTTCACAGAAACAAAAATCACATCGCTAAATTCATTGCTTACTTAACCAAGAGAGCTTTGCTAGTCACACACAATCCTCAAACTGATTGTATGTCGGGATGCATGGAGCTCAGAGGCGGGAGTGAATTGACATCAGCTATAGGTGTGTGGTTGCTAAGTTGAGACTGTTGCTGACTGGTTGGATGTAGAAGTCTGTTCACTAGTGTGGGTCCTTACCTGCCTCACTTAGAAGTGAGGAGCTGAGCCAGATGTGGTGGCATATGCCTGTAATCCCAGCACTGAATAAGTGAAGGCAGGAGGATCTTGAGTTCAAACTAGCCTGGCTGGCTACACAGCAAGTTCAAGGCCAGCATGGGCTACTGCAAAAAAAAAAAAAAAAAAGAGGAGCTGGGTCAGGGATGTAACTTAATGGTAGGGCACAATCCACAGCATCACCAAAAATAATAAGAATAATAAATGAGCTCACTGATTGGTTTGCTTATAGGAATTCACTAAAGTATAGTTTGGTTATTTTCTCACTAGATATTTTTAAGTGATTCATTTATTAGTTCTTGATACTGACTACAGTTTAATTGCTTGTCATAAATTATGAAAACCTGAGTATTACAATTCTTTCTCAGAGTCCAGCCTGAGGACACACAAAGCATCTGAGAAAAGGGTTATGCATTTTATTTGTTGCATAGTATTATCATTGAGAGTGCTTTAAGCTGTAGCCACAAAGTACATTCTAATTGGTTTTAATTACATTTTCCATCAGTTCTGTTAATTGCACAGAGTCAACTTGTTCCTTCAAAAAATAATTAACTAACTTGATCAATTAAACAAGAAACTAAAGTGCAAATAGTTAAATCGTTGCAACCCTGTGAGGTGGGCATTGTTCTTTCTCATTTAGAGAGATGACTAACTCTTGGCTAAGGAACTAGGTCATTTAGGCACATGTGTCAGAGCCAGGGTTCCATGGGCTCTTAAAGTTGCCAGTATTTACTATTACTTTGCTTACTATTCAGTTTCTTATTCAGAACCAAATCCTGAGTAATTCAAACATTACCTTTCTCTGTAATGTTTTCTCTGATGAATACTTGTCTTATGTAGATGCGTATTTTCTGAAACCATTTTGTAAATGTAAGAATAGAGTTCTAAACACAGGTACATGTGATTTTACTGATAGACCGCTTAATCATGTTATTTATGTTTTGTTACTCTGTGGCTTGTGTTTTGATTGTTTGATTGATATTTCTTTTAACATTATTACAGTTCCACACCAGCATCTTGCAAGTTTCGATGCCTTCATTATTGCCAGCATCTGTAGGGGCAGAAACTTCTGAAAAATCAAAGTTGCCTCCTAAATCAGAGACTTCATTTGAAGAGAAGTATGTCATTTATGAACTAACATTGCAGTGTAAAAAAACAGATCAACCAAAAATAGACCAACCAAAACTAAGGGCACATTGTACTTACCCAGGGAATAAGAAGGAAGCAGGAATGTGCCAGGGGTCCTTTAGTCAGTTGTAATCACTGAAATAAAAGGTGTGAAGCAGGAAGTAGTAGGAGGTGGGGCTGGTGAAGTGAGGTAATGTGGTTAGAAAGGGGTTTTAAGGAATTTGGATTTTCTTCCTGCTGCATGGGTGACCATCAATGGGTCTTCAGCAGGATAGTAAGAGTCCTGTACCACAAAGCCATCTGAAGGATGAATATGAAAGAAACAGAAGAAAAAGACAAAATAATTTCTCTGTAGGCAAATAGAAATTTTTTTCAGCATATTTCAAGTTAATTGCCTAAACTTACATTTAGGTCAAAATAAAGTAGAATATTTACAAATTAGAAATAACTTCCTTTGTACATTTTTGTTGTTTTTGACAATTCTGTTCACTTAGAATATATACAAACAGTCCTAACTGTGATGGTTCAAGTTAGTGATGATTCAACTTACAACAGAGCTGCTTTTTCACTTTTACGGCAGCATTCAATAAATTGCATGAAGTATCCAACAATTCATTATAAAGCAGCCTTTGTGGCAGATGATTTTGCCCAGCTGCAGGCTAATGTGGATTAAGATTGGACAGTTTAGCTGAGGTTAGGTATATGAAAGGCATTTTGAACTTACGGGGGCTTATGGGGGCTTACTACCCTTGTAAGTCAAGGAGCATCTGTATAGTCTTTTGCGCATGCTACTCATACATTCTCTTACATTTTAGTGATGGAAGAATAATCCTTGGTGCTGCGGTTGAAACCCAGTTGTGTGATAATCTTCCGTAAGTTGTGTACTATTGAATGTTTTATAACTGAGGCTTAAGAAAGATGGTCTGTAACACTAATGCTAATCAATACTAACAGCAATTGAGGTGATAAATTCATGGATAAGCTAATGGGGCTGTAATGATTGGCTGGAGGTGGAGGGCTGTGATCCCTGTTCATAAAAGAAAAGGAAGGGAAGGAGGGAGAAGGAAAGAAGAAAGACTAATTTAAGCTGGGCACAACTGGCTCTCCCCTGCAATCCCAACTACTTGGGAGGCTGAGTTTAGGAGGATCTTGGTTCAAGGCCAGTCCAAGAAAATAGTTTGCTGAAACTCTGTCTCTAAAGTAACTGGAGTGAAATGGACTGAAGATGTGGCTCAAGCAGTAGAGTGCCTGCTTTGCAAGTGTGAAGCTCTGAGTTCAAACCCCAGCCCAACCAAAAAAAAAAAAAAAAAGAACAAGAAATACTCATTTGTGTTTATGTTATGCCTGTTTTGTTTTGTTTTGTTTTTGGTGGTATTGGGGTTTGAACTTAAGACTTCACACTTGCTAGGCAGCTGTTCTACCACTTGAGCCACTTCACCAGACTTTGTTTTTGTGTGTGTTGTGTGTGTTTGAAATAGGGTCTTGCAAACTATTTGCCTGGAACCTCAGTCCTCCTGATCGCTGCCTCCTGGTAGCTAGGAATATAGGCATGTGCCACTGGTGCTAGATTCATGCCAAGTTTTTACAGATCTTTAACCTTCATTGGTTTTCATTTGAAATTCAGTACTTTTCTTTTTTGAGGCAAGGTCTTGCTATATAGCTGAGGCTGACCTTGAACTTGTGATCCTCTTGCCTTAGCCTCCTTATAGGGATGTGCCACTATGCCTGGCATTTTATTATTATTCATTGATTGTTTTCAGTGATAAGGATTGCACCCAGTTCTTTAGCATGCTAGGCAAGTACTGTACCACTGAGCTACACTCCCACCCCTATAATTCATGTTTATAGTGATTTGTGGTTTTGAATCTTGCAGAAAAGATTCCCAGAGAATTATATGATGGCTGGAAAAGCTGAAATGGGTTTTTGCACTTTCAATTTAAGAAACTGACTAACATGAATGTTTATCCAAGTTGAAGTCTGGATTAAATTAGGAAAGTCTAAAAAATATCAGGGAAGTCTATTTTGAGAGTGGTGCTCAAAGACTACTTTATTTTGTAATCAACACTTCTAGTAACTTACAAATATGTAAATAAAGGAGAAATGCTTTTAAAAGTTTGTGTTTATTTATATTATTCTATTTTTTAGGGCAGATACATTCATTCATTCATTTATTCTTATCCTCTTCTTCTGTCTGTCCCTGTCCCTGTCCCTCTCCCTCTCCCCCTCCCAGGATTAAACACAGGGCAGTCACTTGCTTAGTAAGCATACACTCTCACACTGAAGTGCACCCCCAGCCCTCTTTCTTTAAACAGCTCCCATATTCCTGCCTTTGGTTTTTGAGTAAGATCACCTCCAGCTGTGCATAACCAAATGCTAATTATGCAAAAGAGAATGACCCTGGGTATTTATAGCCTGTTGTGCTTTGACTAGAACTATAAAATTAATTTCTTTGCCAGACTCAGAAAGCTATTTCTTTGTGAATGGATAAGTGAAACTGTCTGTATTTTAATTAGAAGGATTAGATTTAGCAGTGCATGAGTGTTTTAGTAGTGTAAGTGTATAAATGCAAAGACGCATCACTCATCCATGCAAGGGCTGGTGGAGTGGCTCAAGCAGTAAGAGCACCTACCTAGCAAGCATGAGGCCCTGAGTTCAAACCACAGTACTGTCAAAAAAAAAAAAAAAGATATATTAGGGCTGGTGGAGTGGCTCAGGTGGTAGAGTGCCTGCCTAGCAAGCCTGAAGCCTTGATTTCAAACCCTTGTTCTGTTCCCCGCCCCCCAAAAAAGAAAGAAAGAAATATAGAAGAAGGGAACTATGTCCAGTTAAAGAAACAAAAGACAAACAGAAAAAGAAAAAAAAAAACTAATCCATGGAAAATGCTGATTAATTTTCAAATATCAATATCACAAGGATAGTCCCTAGTGTTTTTCCAGCCATTCTAACATGTGTCAGACGTTTAGAGTTATTGGCAAGACAGTTAACCACCCCTGCTTTTAAAAGAACTAAATGTGATAATTTAGTTAAGCACATAAGTGACTGCCTGATTCCAGATTTTCTTTTATTACCAGGACTCAACCCACACACAATTTTAGTTTCTTTATCTACTTAGAAATGCAAACATCAGAGCCACTTATTTTTCATTCTAATTATTATTGTTGCTATTTTTAGAACTTCAAGTCTGCAAAAATCCAGCAGCCTGGGCAACCTGAAGAAAGAGATATCAGATGGGGTGGGTTCTGTATTTTGCTTCTTACCTTAGGAACAAAATATTTAGATATCTTCACCTTTTCCTATTTTGCAAATAAAAGTCTTAAGAAGAGCTTGTGGTTCTCTAATGGGAAATTATTAACTAGCATGGTACAGTTAGCAGTAATTACTATGTATAAATATAAAGAATTGAAACAAAAAATTGAGACTTTAAAAAACATTGTAGAAAGTAAATGAAACTAAGAATTCTGTAGCTTAGAAGTGATGTGATCTTTTTCTAATTTATGGAAGTATACAGAACAAATTCTCAATATATAAAAGATTGCTTTAACGCCTTAAATATCATTGTTTTGAACAGGAAAAGGAATCTATTCAGAAGACTTCAGAGGTAATTTTTCTAACCAAATTAAAGTACAAAACGTTTTTCACTATTATTGCATGTAAATTGCTTAAATGTTTTTATAAACTAAAATTCTCAGAATTCCCAAAACATGCTAACTGAAATCATCTCTACACAAAGGTCAGCCACATTCTCTATGCTTCCACATCTGTGAATATCCAGAATAGATAAATCCATAGAGACAGATTGCAGGTTGGTGGAAGCCAGTGGTGAGAGGAGGGAAATAGGGAGAAATGGCACAATTGTGAGGGGGCTGGCTTTAGAATGATGGAAATGTTTTGGAACTAGATAAGGTGGTGATTGCACGGCATCAGTAGTTACTAAATTCCACTAAATTAACTAAATTAACTTTAAAATAGTTAATTTTTTGTTATGTGAATGCCACCTCTATCAGTCATGAGAAAACTGAACTCATGGTCATGCTACTTGATGATCCCAGTGACCGTATGAACTTCTCAGGCTTCACAGAAACCCCTTTTAGATGGCCAGTGGTTCATTTTAAACAGTCATGGTCCATTTGAAGCCAGCATTGTAGTATTTGTAAAGATATCAGCCGCTGCTCCAGGTATTCTTTCCTGTGGTTTTCGACCATGACCCTTGGAAAGGTTCCAGTTGTATAGACAGGCTACTTCCAGGCTCTTGACCGTCAGCTCTTAGCGTCTGATCATTGCAGATAGAACTGGCAAAGCAATCATGGAGACAGCTGTCACTAAGGTCCTGTTTGTCAGTGCAGTGAATGGTGAAAGGATTTGGCATCAGTGTTGAGACACAGATAATAACAGCACTCTGTTGTGAGCAGTAGATAATGTGAGCAAAGTCTCCACCTTAAAGGCCTGTGTGCCCTGGCCCTTTTCTCCACTTCTTCAAAAGAAAGAAATAGAAAGCAGGCAATGTTAGGGAAATAAGAACATGCAAGCAGAAGAATCTCTGGGTAATATTCAAACATATCAATATATCACCACAGTTACCAATTGAAGTCATCAAAAAGTTCAAAATAAATAGTTGCTGATTCTACTCTCATTATTCTTTGAGAACAATGTTTAGAATAACTAGAGTAGGATGTCCTTATATCGCTAGTGTAAAAGTGGGTTAATTAATGCCTGCTTTATAGGAGAATGTCCTTGTAACATAGACTGTGAACTGTATCATAACTCTGTATCATAGCTAGAAAAATAAGAAATTTGCTATTCAAGTTATGTAATATCCATGTTTTTTGAGGAATGAGGCAAACAAAATTAAAATAAAACTTGAATTTCTATATTTATCTTAAATAGTTAAAGCCCTAAATTCATTGAATATAGATTAATGATGGACATTTTGTCTTGCTGCTGCTGGGCCTTGATGATTACACATGGCTAATGCTCTTTCATCATTGTCACCGTCTCTCAGAAAAAGCTCCAGTAGAAAGTCACACGTTTGGAAGCCTCCCTCCCAAAGTCCCAGGACACCATGCTTCTGTGGATGACAACCCCCTTTGGCACTCGAAAAGCCAGATCGTCCTTTGGTCGGGGCTTTTTTAAAATCAAAAGTAGCAAGAGGACAGCAAGTGCACCAAAACTGGGTATGTGTGGCCAAAATACCTGTGCTGTAATCAGCTGGAGTCCGATCCCTTCCCTTCTCTTACGCATCCACCTATATCTTTCCTCTCATCAATGAAGGTGAATGACTTGGGGAAGTTAACAAAAGATACTTCAGTGGCTTAACTTAGAGGCAGTGAAAAAGATGTACTGACCTCGCCCTGACCTTCTTCCTGTGGCATAGACCATGAAAACCTAAAACCATGAATCTTTGCAGTTTCATTGTAGACAGTTTCCATCCCATTCTGATGGGATAAGGTATACCCCGTGTGGGACAACCCTGGTGGAGTCTGTGTGTTAACCTCAGAAGCACAGTGCATGCCAGTCCTCCACTGTGTATTTCCTGAGGAGGAGTCTCATCTGTTGTTTCATTTTGTCACCCCCTGTGTTCTCTCCATTGGGCTGCGTGTGATTGTGTGCGTTGTTGGGATATCTGAAGATCGTAAACGAAGTGCCAGTGCACCTTCCTTAGGTATTGTACCCTTGCATGCTAGCCTTCACCAGTGCTGTGCTCCAAACCCCATCTAATTCCCGCTCTTGGCCTCTCTGATCTCTAGAAAGCAAGCTGGCAGCAATCAGAAGACATAGTTCTCTACTGCAGAGTGTTCCTTCCATCTTCTGCTAAAGCAGACGCCATACTCCTTAGAGCCTTTGCTTCCAAACCCACATGCTGTTTTAAGCAATGCTATTGACACCCTGTGAGCACCCCTGAGAAGCCCTTCAAGTGCCCAGCAGTCCGTGAAGTGTGGGGCAGGAATGTGCATGCATCATACATCCCAGCCCTTGATACATAACATCACACAGTAACTCCCTTGTCCTTGCAGTCTCTTCTCCATGTGCTCATTTTCCCCACCCTCCCCAAAAAAATGTTTGAGCCAAGTAGAGAGGATTGTAGGAGAAACTGAATACGATAGTTTACACTTACTTATCTTTAGGAGAACATTCTTCTGACATTTTATTGCTTTGAGAGGAAGATAATATTTAGTGATGTCAGAGGTAACTTTGTGTGTTATCTAAGGAGTTGGCCCCAAAGTGGTTTTCCTCTTTGTGGGACAATGAGCAGTAGGGAGGAAAAGGAAAAAGTCCTCAAGAGAAAAAAGATACAATGCTTTTAAAATGAAGGTGAGCAAGGCAATGTTTTTAGAGGTACCCAAACCCCCTTAGGTTTTCCCACTAGGTGCTGTCACCTTACATAGATATCCACATATCTATTCATATGGACTAGCTAAGTGACATTACTTTCTTTGTGGCCTTTTGTATAGATTGAGCACTGGATGCATAGAATAAGCTGATTCATCTAGACAGCTATTTCCAAATAGTCTTCCGTCTTTCTAGAAGAATTGTAGTCCATGCTTAGAGGCAAGTGCTGCTTACTATAACCTGTAATCACGGCCTGCTTGTAGAAAAGTCAACTTTTGCAACTGTGTATCTTGCTGAAACACTGACTCTGTGATTTTTGAACAACTTTTACTTTCCTTTATAAAGCATAAAAGTTTCACATTGAGAAACATAGGAGCCCTTGTGTTTGCTAGTGTGTGATTGTCCACTAGGGACAGCTAAAGGAATTCAGACTTGGAGATCTGGCAGTGCCAACTGGGGATATTCCTTTTTTTTTTTTTTTTGGCAGTACTGGGGTTTGAACTCAGGGCCTCACACTTGCTAGACAGGCGCTCTGCCACTTGAAATTTGAGCCCTCTGCCAGCATGGGATATTACTCTTTTAAGGTAAAGTCAATAAGCACTAATTTTATATCAGAAGAAAGACATCTACATATCTAGTTCATTTTTTCTCAGTGCCGAAGACTTTCTTGATTGGGATAAATTATTTTAGAGGAGTCAGTACTGGAGTTTGCGCTCAAGGCTTTGTACTTCCTAGACACTCTACCACTTGAGACACAGCAGTAGCCCTTTTGCCTTAGTTATTTTTTGAATAGAGTCTTGCTTTTATGCCTGGACCAGCCTGGACTGTGATCATCCTATTTATGCTTCCCCACTAGCTGAGATGATAAGTATGTGCCACCATCCCCAGCTTTTTATTGGTTGAGATAGGGTCTTTCTAACTTTTTGCCTTGCATGTCCTTAAACTCTGATCCTGAGGCGGTAGGATTACAGATGTGAGCCACTGCACTTGTCTGATAAATTTCTGAAATACAAAATTGCTAATACTTGGTAATTGATTGGATATAAATGCCAAAGGAGAAGAAGGAATTAAAATGAGCTAGAGTTTGGATTGGAGCAACAGGAGAATATTAATTAAATGCCAAATAAAAACTGAGACAGGAGAAGACCCTCAGGGAAATTGGATGCACTAGGTGAGACAGAGATGTTCCTGGCACATTCATTGGGAACATGTACAGATGTTTAGAAACTGGAGCTGGGAAAGAGGGACTGGAGGAATGGCTCAAGTGGCAGAGTGCCTGCCTAGCAAGCACGAGGCCCAGAGTTCAAACTCCAGTACCAACAACAACAAAAGTGAAACTGGGAGAGAAATCAGGCCCAGAAATTTTAATCCACCTGCTTCTGAATTAGTAAAGCCATCATTTGTGCTGAGCTTGTAGTGGGTGAGCTTGTCAAGAGATCCAAAAGAGGTGACAAAGCACCTGCCTAGCAAGCACGAGGACCAGAGTTCAAACTGCAGTACTGGAGTGAAATGAAAGAAGAAAATAGGATGCAACACAAAGAAGAAACTATCAGATGACATCTAAGAGGATGTTGTAACAGAAGCGAAATGTGATGGTAATTTTAAAGGAAGAAGGAGGTAGTCAGTGGTACCAAGTGACCATCAAGATTGGTACCATCAAGATTGAGAATAAACTCAAGGAAAGCATATGTCAGGTGCTGAGAATGTAGTTCAAGAGCAGAGCACTTGGTTAGCTTGTGTCAGGCCCTAAGTTCAATCCCCAATATTGCCTAAAAAGAAACAAAAAAAGGAAGGAATATGACATTCCTGTCCTACTTAATCTCAAAGAGATTTTAAGTTAATTTCATACACAAGAAAAAACTCTAAAGAACACACATTCACATTTCATTTTTCATATTTACAGGGTAATCTCTGTAATTCACTGATTTATAGACCAGCAGAAGAAGAATTCTTAACAGTTGCTATAACCAAGAAGTCTAATAGCTAATCATGTTCGTTCCATAGTTTAAAATTCATCATGTCTTTATTCTGTTCTTGGAATAGCTGAAACAGAAAAGGAGACAGCGGAGCACTTAGATTTGGCTGGTACATCTTCTCGGGCAAAAGACTCACAGGACACCAGTCCATTCCAGATGTCTCCACCATCTCCAGATTCCAGAAAGAAATCCAGAGGTATCATGAGACTCTTCGGAAAGTAAGTGGAACAGGGAACATGTGGGATGGTTCTTGTCTCACACATTGCTCAATGCTGGGGTACAAAGAAAAATGGCTGAAAATAGTTACCAAATTAGAAGTCTTTCATGTTTCTCTTTTGGAAGAAAGATTGTGATTTGGGATTCATAACTCTTTGGACCCTAGTTAATGTTTAAATTCAGTTGTCTTTGTTAAAACATGCTCTAGGGCTGGCAGTGTGGCTCAAGTCATAGAGCACTGTCTAGCAAACATGAGGCCCTGACTTCAAACCCCAGAACCACTGAAAAGAAAAAACAAAAAAGCATGTTCTGATTAACTGTAAAGTCTAGGGCTTGCTTAGGTCTAATTCACAGTCATCTATGTTGTGTGTTCTTCAGACTTAGGAGAAGTCAGTCAACTACATTCAACCCAGATGACATGTCTGAACCCGAATTCAAAAGAGGAGGGACAAGGGCAACTGCAGGGCCCCGACTGGGTTGGTCTCGAGATTTGGGACAGTCCAACAGGTAAGAACAGCCAAGTGAATGGACGTCAGCATCTCCAAGCAAGCGTCAAGGCCTTGTGAACACCTGCAGTATTGGGACTGTCTTTGGGTTAACTCATCAAGCCATGGCTTCCTGCTGTGCCCAGAGGAGGGATCTGTCATCTTTACAGCATTGTGGTTTGTCAGTGGTTGATAGTTGCTGTGCAGAAGATGAAGGCTGTGTGAGCTATGTGAGGTGTCAGTGACATCTCTACTAGAATGATTCCTTCAGTAGCACTCTAAAGCATTGCCTTGGAATGGTACCTTAGCTTAGTGGGGTTAGGCGTAGGTTTGAGGCACTGGGGATATAGGTTCAATCTCCAGCACTGAAAAACAAAACAAAACATACAATTAAAAAAAGAAAAACCCCACAATGTTCTAGAATCAGATTGCTTAGATTTGGTTTTTAGCCAGCCACGTAACCTTAAGCGATCACTTCCATGCTCTATATCTCAACCTTATCATCTTCAGCATCATAATTAGTACCTACCCCAAAAGATAATTCTAAAGATTAGATGAGTCAGCCAGGCATCGGTGGCTCACACCTATAATCCTAGCTACTTGGGAGCTGACATTGGGAGAATCATGGTTCAAGACCAGCTCAGGCAAAGAGTGCTCAAGACCCTGTCTCCAAAACAACCAGTGCAAAATGGACTAGAGTGTGGCTCAAGTAGTAGAAACCCTAAGTTCAAACCCCAGTCTCACAGAAAAAAAAAAAAAAAAAAAACTTAGTTACTACATGTTAAGTATCTGGGGCAAGTGATGACCATTCACTAAGCATTAGAGATTAATGCAGCCCTTGAAAGCTCTTAAAGACAAACCCTGTCAGAATTCTTAGGCTTATCAAGACCTTAGAATTGTTTACCTATTAGGACTCTAAGAACTTTTCTTATTCCTTTATAAAGGTGTAGAGCTGGTTTAGAACTAACTACACTGACCTACTGAGCATAAAAGGGTGGGGTTGGCAAACCGCAGTACAGACCTTGATACTAAGCCTTTTAAAATGACTATAAATACCTATAAACACAGTCCCTCCCACACAGGCGAAGCCCTGGACCCAGGTTTCATTAAGGAGGAAATTCTTTCGCCTTTTTCAAATACCACATGGTCACATTTGCCATATGTTTTCTTAGAACACAGTAAAGGAGTTTCTTGTGCTATTAAAAATATTTTGGGGGCTGGTGGAGTGGCTCAGGCAGTAAGAGTGCCTGCCTAGCACAAGAAGAGTTCAACTCCAGTGCCACCATGTTCATGTCCATCTTCACTTTTTTTTTTAAACAGGAACATTGTTTTGTGTTTGAGTAAACAAAAACAAATTTTGTTTTTCTTCCCTCTCTGTTGTCCTCTTTCTACTGATTGCTGGTAAGAGAGAAACCACAGTTCTGCCAAAGTTATTCAAATTAGACTTGAATTTCCTTCAATCCAACTGAGTGTTATCTATTTGGAAGTATACCCTTCAAACAGCATGGTAGGGTCTGGTGCAGTGGCTTATGTTGGTTCAACTTGATGTCTTTCTATAGAATTTGTTCTTGCTAACTCACATTAAATCTTTTGCTATTTCATTTGAAATAAAGACAATGATCTTGGAAGGAAACGTTCAACTCTAGTACTACCTCTTCCTCCTCCAAATATGTACTAAAAATTAAGCTTTTCATGTTCAAATGCGTATCATCAGAGAATTTCCATGTCTGTTGAATGTGTAGTTGTTCAGAACTGATGATAAGCGACAGGATTGGCTTCAAATTGTTTCTCATGCAATCATTCATTTTCCCATAGTGACTTGGATATGCCGTTTGCCAAATGGACCAAGGAGCAAGTTTGTAATTGGCTTGCAGAACAAGGCTTGGGGTCCTACCTGAATTCTGGCAAGTACTGGATTGCCTCTGGCCAAACGCTTTTGCAGGCTTCTCAACAAGATCTAGAGAAGGTGACTGTTCTCTCTTTTCATATACAAAATCCTAAGAGAAAGGGTATGAATATAAGATTGCTTTATAGAGAGCACACAGGGAGGTATGAGGATATGTAAGACGCCCAAAAAACTGGATAGCATTTTTTGCCCTCAACGCAGAGAAACTAATGCAGATACTTTAAAGCAACTGAGACCAATAGGAGAAGGGGACCAGGAGCTAGAGAAAAGGTTAGTTCGAGAAGAATTAACTTAGAAGGTAACACACATGTACAGGAAAGCAATGCGTGTCAACTCCCTGTATAGCTATCCTTATCTCAACTAGCAAAAACGCTTGGTCCTGCCTATTACTGCTTATACTCTCTCTTCAACAAAATTAGAGATAACGGCAAAATAGTTTCTGCCTGGTAGCAAGGGGGTGGGGGAGTAAGGGAGGTGGCAGGGGTTAAGGGGGGAGAAATGACCCAAACATTGTATGCACATATGAATAAAATAAATTTAAAAAAAAATAAGATTGCTTTATATTTCAGAGAGGGGTATGGGTGAGATCAGCATTTCTGCTCTTGAAACTCTTGAACAAACTTGAGTTTTCAGCTGCTTCATGCTTATCTCATCTGACAAACTTAAAAGGAAGGGTCTAGTCTTAATGATTCTTTATGGACACTTAAGCCGTAAGTGATGGCTTATCTAATGATATAGCCACAATAATAAACTTTAAGATCATATGTTCAAAATCACTTTGTGGCCTTTTCACTGACTTATCTTTTCAATGTAACATATTGCAATTCAACTTTACTTTGCAAAAGGGAAAAGGCACCCTGCATTTTGAGTCCCAGATATTTAATATTTTGTACAAAGTAAATGAAATTCCTATTATGCATGCTACATTTCCTGTCTTACAAAGAAAATGAGTCACCAAAGTAATTGTGGTCTTGGCTGTCTAGCAGCCTCTTATTCAGCAATGTCTTACTAGCCTCAGTTAGTATTCTACTTTAATGTAGAATGGGTTTACGTACATACCTAAGGTAGTATTCTAATCTAATGCAGAATTAGGTCTTTAATGCTAGCTTTATTTAGGAGAAATTTGCATCTTTGCCAGTGGATCCAGTCAGTATAGATAAGAATTATAAGGTCAGTCTTTCTGTTTATTGTTTCAGGAACTTGGAATCAGGCATTCACTTCATCGAAAAAAACTGCAGCTGGCACTGCAAGCCCTGGGATCCGAAGAAGAAACAAATCACGGAAAGCTGGATTTCAACTGGGTCACTAGTAAGAGGTTTTCATGCTTAAAAAATAATAACTATTGCCATTTTTTCTTTTTAGTCCCCAAATAGGTGTTTATGGCCCAGTAATGACACTAGTTTCTCTTCTTTAGGATGGTTGGATGATATTGGCCTCCCCCAGTATAAGACCCAGTTTGATGAAGGACGGGTGGATGGTCGAATGCTACATTACATGACTGTTGTAAGTGATTCTCCATTGGGGTTCAAAGAAGTAAATTTTTTTCTCTGAGAAACATGGAAACAGAGTAATCAAAAACTAATGTGTTCACAGGTGTTCCACTGGAGTTTAAAGGTTGAGGAGTGAGTAGGGAAGTCAAAGTCATAGGGCTTGGTGATTTTAACAGCTTTGGGATAATTTGAAGACCCAATGTAAGCTAAGCAAAATGTAATTTAAACCAACCTCTCCAGAAGGTTGTTTTGGTTTTTGTTTTGTTTTGTTTTTTTGGGTGTTTTTGTTTTTTTCTTTTTGTGGTTCTGGGGTTTGAACTCAGGGGCCTGCGCTTCCTGGGAAGGTACTCTACAGCCCCAGAAGGTTGATTTTTATATATATTAAATGAATTGAATATTGAAGTGTACACTTTGAATCAGTGAATTTTATACATTCAACACTTTTGTTTGTCTGTTGTTTTGAGACAAGTTCTCCCTAACTTTTCCCTAACTCTCATTACTTCTGCCTCCTCTTCCCAAGTAGCTGGAATTACAGGCATGTGGTGCTAGTCCTGACTTCAAAAAATATTTCTGAAAATAGAGCCGGGGGCTAGTGGCTCACACCTGTAATCCTACCTTCTCAGGAGGCAGCATTCAGGATGATCATGGTTCGAGGCCAGCTCAGGCAAACAGTTTGAGAGACCCTATCTGGAAAATACTCAGCACTAAAAATGGCTGATGGAGTGGTTCAAGTTGTAGAACAACTGCCTAACAAATGCAAGGCCCTGAGTTCAAACCCCAGTAGAGCAAAAAAACATATTTCTAAAATAGAATGTGGAGCTTTGAAACCCTATTTGTTTCTGTGTTATGTGTCCCTATGCAGTGACCAAGGCTATCCTTTGACCTGATATGCACAGGGACTTGTCTTCTCCATTCACTTTTCCTTGGATACCTGTTGCTTGAAACACTATTTGCCCAGGACTAGCTTCGAACCACGATCCTCCTTATCTCTGCCTCCTGAGTATCTAAGAATATAAGCGTGAGCCACTGGCACCTGGCTAGATTTCTTTAAAAATCTGGTAGACTTTAATTAGATGAAAAAAACCTACACTAACATTTTGAATGGCTATTGCAATCTTAGGTTAAAATATCGTAAATTTTTTTTCTAATTAATCTAATTAGTTTTAGAAATTCAGAGAGAATTCAGGAAACAATTTTTGCTTAGTTAGTTGTCTTAAGGTTTTAAACTGCTAACATTTTTATGTTAAAAACATTTCCATAGTAAATTAATTTTTTCTTTTTTTTCCATAAGAAATATGTTATCAGTAAGCTGTGCCTCAAATGGATGTGTCCTATGTTTATTTTCTGGGTGTGTTTGGAAGCAGACTAGTGCTTATCTTGGTGGTGTGTCCAAAATCGCCCTCTTCTGAAACAGTTTGTTTGGGTGTGTTGGGCATGTTTGCAGATGTTCCCAGTAGTCACAGACTGGTGGCTTGCTTGAAGGGTTGATTGTTGATATATGTTCACACTTACTTCATTTCTCCTCTCCTTCTTACTAGCACCAAAACCTCTTAAGGTCAGGGAATGGTGTACCCAGGGTGTTCCTCTGATTTTCTCTGAAGTATGATCAGCTTTCATTCAGAAAACCAACCCTGGATCATCAGTGAACATCATTGGCTCCCAGCTAGCTGCTGAAAGGAAAGGAAGAGGACATTTGGCCAGTGCCTTTAGCTGTGCTTAGGTGTCCGGATAAAGTTCTGGAACAAAGGGATTCTTTTGTTCGCAGAATGGCAAATTAAAGCAAATGGGGCCAGGGTGTAGCTCAGTGATACAAGGCTCTGGGTTCAGTAGCCAGTAACCCCCTCAAAAAAAAAAAAAAACCAAGAGCTGGGCTTGGTAGTATATGCCTGATATGCCTGTAATCCCAGCAGCACTCAGGAGACTAAGGCAGGAATATTGAGTGTTTGAATCCAGCCTGGGCTACATAGTGAGACTCTATCTCAAAAACAAAAACAAAAACAAAAAAATAGGCAAATTATCTTCCGTAGCGACCATGGGGATTCCATTATCCTGTCAGAGTATCTGGAGCAGAAAGAAGCAGTTGGCAGCCAGCTTTTTTGGCAACAGCATTAACTTGGGGTCCTAGAGAGGATTTTGTTCAGAACAGGAAAGGGGTTCTGTTATTAAATAAAAGCGTTGGACTCTCTGGCAGGCTCTTGGGGCGTATTGTTTTTAGTGGCTCTTCTACTTTTATTCCAGTTTTCTGAGCTTTCCCTAGGAGGGTCCTCCTGCTATGGGCCAGCACAGTGAGCACCAATGTTGTTCTGTTTACAGGACGACTTACTGTCTTTGAAGGTTGTGAGTGTGCTGCATCATCTCAGTATCAAGAGGGCCATCCAGGTCCTGAGGATCAATAACTTTGAACCAAACTGCCTTCGGAGGCGGCCATCTGACGAGGTAGCATTTCAGATGGAGGCTTAGCGCACTCGTCGTCATGCATGTGACTGCATGTGTACAGCGGGTCCATGAGGCCCATTTCTTCTTGGAGCCTGCAGGCAAAGCTGGTCTCCTCAGGAGCCTCAAATCAAGCTTCATTCACTACTTAGGCTTTGTTTTCCTGTATCTCTTCCTTTTCTCCCCACGGTGGTTCCACTGTGTCGCTAAAGCCAATGGTTGTTTTTCATTTATACTTCTTCCTTTTGATGGGTTTGTTTTTTCCTGTCTCCTTGATCCATGGAGTTAACTATCAGTATTAAAGACTCCTTTTCCTGCTTCTTTTCTGTGCATAAGAAAGCTTGAGACTCTGTATATTAGTTCTTTAAAAGAGAACTCAAGTTAGCAAAGACCTTTTACCTTTCTTTAAACATTTCTTGGAATGTTGAGCAGCGGTGCTCCCCTGGGCAGACCTGTTAGACCGTGCCTGCAGGTTTAGTATTGAGGATCCTCTGGTCAACTGAAGCTCATGGAGTTTGTTCCTGCAGAATAACATCACGCCATCCGAGGTTCAGCAGTGGACCAATCATCGAGTGATGGAGTGGCTGCGCTCTGTGGACTTGGCAGAATATGCCCCTAATCTCAGAGGCAGTGGTGTCCATGGTGGTCTCATGGTAAAGCTGATTGAATTGAAAATTGACTTCTCGTTTTATTTCCTTTAGTTTAATGTGTAGGATACAGGATGAGGATCCCTAAGGAGGATCTGTTCGTTTGCTTGTCATAATCCTAAAGTCATATTTCCTAAGCCTCCTGCACTATTTCTAGTGAGTTTTACTTTAAAGTATTTTTATTTAAACTGTAAAACTCTAGATTAGATTAAGCCCATTTCTCTTTCACATTAAATAACATCCAGCTGCTGTCTCTCATATAATTGTGGTTAAAATCCCTACAAAGATACAGATTGTATTTCTACACATCTGTGTTGCATAAGGGTTGGTGTAAGTGCTGCCATTGTAAGACCTGAGGCGTGGATTACAGCACCCGCTTCACCACTTGCTAACTCAGGCAAAATAAAGAAAAGAAATGTGAACTAGAGATGGAAGTTCATACCCTGGGCTGTCAAGAGAGTCATGGAGATAAATAACCCAAATGAAAGCACTGCACAAACTGTATAGCACAATGCAAACATATGACCTATGGTACCTTTTAACAATCTTAATTTTTCTTACAGGTTTTAGAACCTCGTTTTAATGTAGAAACAATGGCTCAGTTATTGAACATCCCACCTAATAAGACCTTGCTGCGAAGACATTTGGCCACTCATTTCAACCTTCTGGTTGGTGTGGAGGCTCAGCACCAGAAGCGAGATGTCATGGAGTTACCAGATTATGTACTTTTAACAGCCACTGCCAAAGTGAAGGTGGGTTCAAGCTTATACCACTTAATAATTGCATGAAGTTTGCAGTGGCTCAGCTGAGGGAATATACATCTTTAACAGTAATTAAGAGAATACATTTTTGAAGGTTTCTGCTGATGTCATTTATTTTAGAGTTGACAATAATAAAGATCATGATGCTGGCTTCTATAATTAATGTATTGCCAATGCAGAGAGCCTGTTACCTGTGACTTGGGTCCAAATACTGATTGCAGTTGTTCTATTTTTCCTATGGATATCAGAGGAACATTTGGGAGCTTCAGATATAACTCAGGGGTAGAATCCTTGTCTAGCATGTGCGATGCCTGACTTTGACCCCAAGCACTACAAATTAAATAAATAGATTTCTACTTATACAGATTAAGCTTGTCTGTCTTAAAATTGACCAGCCTTGCAAGTTAGGGAAAGATATGCAAGAAATGACTCAAAGCCAGGTATGGTAGCTTATGCCCACATTTCCAGCACTCTGGAGGCTGAAGCAGGAAGTTTTTGAGTTCAAGGCCAGCCTGGGCTACATAACAAGACACTATTTCAAAAAAGAAAAAGAGAAATGATTCAAGGTATACTAGCAGAGAGTGGATGTTTCCTAATTTATCGGAATTCATGGGTTATACCTAATTAAGATTACTTTTTCTTCTTTTAAATCATTCCTACATTAACTCTTCTGAATATATTGCCTTAGCCTCCTTAATGTGAAGGTAGCACTTACAGGTTCCTCCAGAAATATGTGGCAAGTTCTTTTTGTTTGTTTTTTACCCATTCTATCTGCCTTGGAGTCCCTTTCTCCATTAAAAGATATGCCAGATTTGAAACAGTGTGTTCTATTTAAACTCAGTCATTAGCCTGATAGTCACAGGGACTGGATGGTAACTAAGATGGAGTTTCCCTTTAAAGTATCACTGGAAATTTTGTCTCCAAAAGACTGGGGAATTCATTTATCAATCACCAGTCCTGTTGTGGAAGCAGAGAGGCAAATGACATAATCATAGTTTTACCCAAAAAGAAAATACGGTAAAGACCATTTTCTTTTGCTGATCTGAGATGAAAAAACATGGATGCTTGGATTCAGCCATGAAAGTCCCGTGTTATCTAAACAAAGGACTTGGAGTGTTTTGCTTGCACACTGACTATCCAGTTAGTTGGTGTGAATAAGAAGAATAACATTAATCTTCTGAGATTTATGACAACAACCGTTAAGATATTTGGGTGCATCATTTGTATGTCCTTTTGTTTTGCAAATTTAATGATCTAGTTACTTTTCTCTGTGATGAATAATTAAATGCTACATGTTATCAGTTCTTTGCCATATAAATTTTTTCAAACCCTTGGTTGTTTTTTGTTTACTTTCAAAGCCAAAGAAACTTACCTTTAGCAATTTTGGCAATCTGAGAAAGAAGAAACAGGAAGATGGAGAAGAATATGTTTGTCCAATGGAATTGGGACAGGCATCAGGAAGTACCTCTAAAAAGGGATTTAAACCTGGTTTGGACATGGGCCTGTATGATGAAGATGATTTGGACCGGTTAGAGCAGGTAAATGCAACACCATAAACCTCTTTTAAATGCCTTCAGCCACTATGGGGGGGCTTTATATGCAATATCCACTAATCATGGATGTTCTTTTCAAATGCCTAAAAATAAGGATAATAAAATAACAGTGAACACTTACAGACTGCTTACGCTACTCCAGGTCCTATCCTAAGCACTTAACATACAACAATGTTTGTGGTAATCTGAAGACTTCGAATTATTATCCGCATTCAAAAACCAAAGCACAAAAGTGTTCTGTTGCTCCCACCCCATCCAGCATCACTGCATCATTTCTGCTTAGACTTTCGCTCATTTTGCTGCACTTTCCTTGAAATCATGAAAATGGGTATGGCATGCTGTGGTTTGTTCTTTGCAGATGGAAGATTCAGAAGGGACAGTAAGACAGATAGGTGCGTTCTCTGAAGGCATCAACAACCTTACAGTAAGTTTATTGAGATGTTACTCTAAAAGTAACCCGAATGCACTGCACATGCATTGGTGAATGTGTGGGTCCGAGCTCCGGACTCGCAATGTGTGACTCCCTATCTTCTTTTTTCCAGCACATGTTAAAGGAAGATGACATGTTTAAAGATTTTGCTGCCTGCTCCCCCAGTGCCAGCATTACAGATGAAGACTCAAACGTTTGACCATAACACCTGGATAAGCACTAGGAACCCACCTTAGTTTTCAAATAGCATATACAAAAACCAACAGATTGTATATTGTTTCTTGTTCAAACTTCTGCTCATTCAGAAGCGGAAATGGAAGGCAGGGGACTCATGCCTGTTCTGAAGTTGCCACGAAAAATGAGACACTGGTGAATGAGAGTATAATTGCTTTACTCTATTTAATGTAAAAATCTGTAAGGTATTATATTTAAAGCTGCATTTAAGATGAGTGTTTTACCATAGTGTTTCATTCACATCCCCAGTGTGGAGGGCTTGGGGAGCAGTAACCAGTATGTGAATGACTTTGTCACATCATTGTGTTACTGCAGTCATAGAAGCAGGACATCTGTGCTCTCAAAGTAATTCATCATGCAGAGTTTCCAGAAGCATTCATTGTGCCTGCTAAATGCCAACTATACCTCTGCTTGCCTCTTACTGTCTTGTTTTTATATATTTTTCTAAGTATATGTATATATACCATACATAAAAATAGAACTTTTATTTTGTGACCTAAGGAAGACAATGAAAAGATCATATTAAAAACAAAAGCAAAAGAACAGTGATCTAAATTTTCACATAGCAGCTGATTCCTGAAGAGATCAGAATGGTCTTTCTTTTTCTACAACTGAATTTTTACAATGTTCATCCTTCAGACTAAACTAATATACATGAAATATGTGTCTTTGATGACAGCATAGAATTGTTGAAGTTTAAGAACTTCACCTTTACCAGGCATCAGTGGCTCATGCCGTAGCCTCGCTACTCCAGAGGCAGTGATCAGGAAGATCGCAATACGAGGCCAGCCTGGGCAAATAGTTTGTGAGACCGTATCTCACAAATGCCCAATGCAAGAAAAGGGCTGGTGGAGTGGCTCAAGGGGTAGAGCACCTGCCTAGAAAACATGAGGCCCTGAGTTCAGACCCCCGTACCACAAAAAAAAAAAAAAAAAAAAAAGCTTCACCATTAACCTTGGATCTATTTACTTTATAAGGAAGAACTTGAGCAACATTAATATACAGTTAACTTCAGTGATTTGGAAGCATTCACATCTCCCTCAAAAAACAGTTGTAGAAATAATCAGAAACAAAACACCTTTACAGTATTAAGGTTCTTGTTTTCCTTTTTGCTAAATACATCATTACATTCACATACTAACCGGCTGCCTAAACATATTAATTGTGCATTCCTCAGCTGTCAATAAATGGAGTTTTATTTTATTTCAATAAGAATTCAAATGGTCTGAGGCTGCAAAATTAGTTTTCTAATGGTTATTTTGTTAAGTATAGCTCATGGCTTCCGTTAACTCTGGACCCAAATATTCTTTATAAAGAAAATAGAAAACTGCAGCAAAACTGTTGCTGTGGGTTTTTTTTTTTTTAGTGGTATTGGAAAAATCTATTTTTCATTCAAGACTGCATTATTACTCATACTAGCCAGATGCAGAAAAGACAGGTGTTCACAAATTGGGGTGGAGGTGGGCGGTTCAGTTTATGCCAGTGGATTTGATTACAAATCATTTTTGAATATTGATGGTATTTTCTTTTACACTGTCAGCAAGTTACCAAACTATTCACCAAAGAATGTATAATACCAGTTATTCATAACTGAAATCACTTGATGCTAACAGTGCTTTATTTTGAACTCTGTCATTCATTATTTGGTAACTGTATTGGATTCTTCTGGTATTGGGGTTTTATTTTAATGTGAATATACATCAGCATTTGAAAAACTTGATTTCTTATTAGAACCTGGTTGAAAATACCAAGAAATTGTTACAAATGCCAATGTTCTTTATTCAGGACACTATAGCATAGCTGATGATGATAAATGATAAGGTTAAAAATTTGTTATATATTTTATTTACAAAATATTATACACTGCTGGTATTACCTTATGAAAGAAAATAAAGTCAATTGATAATTGCCTCATGTTTGTGTTGTCATTATTTAATTTCCCTTTATTCAAAGTAACAGATGGGCTTGGTTTCTGATTTAGAAAATAACACAAACTCTTTCTAGTTTGTAAACCTTTGTAAGTTTGTTTGGACATGTATCAACAGAGAGAAAGTTGAGGTCATTGCTCAAGAAGCCTTGATATGAAAGGGGGCATAAACAACTGAGCTGGGAGTGAGGAATGATGTCAGAGGGATGTAGGAAAAGCAAACAGAAATGACATACAAATTTGAAGAAATTAGTTGTAGGAAAAGGTGTACGGACCTAACCTTTAAAAAAACTAACTTACTGTTTTTAACTTAACTGAATTTTGGAAAGAAGACACATATCTAGGAAGAGATTACCAAAGATTAAAAGTAGATTGAATATAACCTAGAGAAAAACAGATGTTTTGTGTGAAATTTAGTATCTGTAACTTAATAAACCAGCAGGAATCTGTATGAATACAACACACCCGGTTGACAAACAGGGAACCCTCCCATGTTTGTTTAGCTGTATGTCTATATGCTTAGCTACACAAAGACACCTGTAGAGTTGGGACACTGTGACCACATTAACTGAGGTGGCTTTGTTGCGGAACTTTTCCTCTCAAAAAAGCGATTCTGAACAACGCACACATGCTTGATATTTGAGGGCAGTATTGACCGGGTGTGAAAAAATGGGACAAAAAGCATCACAACAGTTGGCTCTGAAGGACAACAAAGAGGTTCTCGGTGTCTGTGAGGTGGTCAGTGAAGCTATAATCTACACAGCTCAGAGACTAAAGGAGTATCTTGGATTTGAATATCTGCTGACTAAACTCTGTCCTGCTGCCAGTACTCTGAATGAGATCTTCTTAATCCACTTCATCACTTTCTGCCAAGAAAAGGGAATTGGTGAGTGGCTCACCACCACCAAGATGACCAAGCACAAAGCCTTCCTGTTCGGGACAGATTGGATTTGGACCTTTTGGGGATCCAATAAGCAAATAAGGCTTCAGCTAGCAGTTCAGACTCTGCAACTGGCTTCTCTTCAGCCTTTGGACTTCTCCAATCCAGAGTCGAGGGTAGAGGAGTCTTCCTGGAAGAAAAGTAGATTTGATAAGCTGGAAGAATTCTGTAACCTGATAGGAGAGGACTGTCTAGGCCTGTTTATTATCCTCGGTGTGCCAGGAAAGCCTGGAGATGTTCGGGGAGTTGTCCTGGATAGTGTCAGAAGTGGGATGGTGAGCAGCCCTCTGCCAGGACACAAGGCTGTGGAACAGTTTGTCCTGGAGACAGAAGATTGTGTGTTCATCAAAGAGCTGCTCGGAAACTATATGAGTAAGAAAGATGGGCTGAGAGAAGTGGACAAGGTTTATATTAGCATCCTCTGAACTGCAGATGTGTGTTGTGACTGGCCTGTAAGGTGAAAAGAAAAAATACTTTATTCTCTAAAGCAAGCTCTTCTATTACACCATTCCATCATGGGACTGTTTCTTTTTTAAAAGTTTTGGGTTTTTTAACCCCTTTAGTTGAAAATGATTACCTGGGTCAAAGCATACTAGTGTCACAATTATGGAGAGAAAAAAAATGGCCAGCCTTATTTCTGGAAAATGTATAATTTAGTTTAATGTTTATTCATTTATTCAATAATAGCAATTGGAGAGGATAATAAAGTTTGATTTTCCATACAAAAAGTGTTAGTTCGAAATAGTAGCTAATGCTCACAAGTATAAAAGATACTTTTAGAGCAGTGGAGGGGGTAAATTCAAGTATGATATATTTGATACATTGTAAGAACCTTTGTAAATGCTGCAATGTACCCCACACACAGCACAACAATAAAAAATAACTAACTTAGAAAAGGTCCTTTTAATGCTGTTGGTGAGAGGTGGACAGGATAGGATGGTAGTGAGTGAGGAAGACTTCAGAACCGGTTTAATTGTAGTAATGATACCAGGTCCAATTCAGGCCTCCTACGCAAAACTGCACACTGTTTCTTTCCTCTGATCCTGGCCCCTCTTGTGCCTTGATAGCAGCTTTCTCTGCACAGAAAGACTTCAGTGGGATTTACTTGGGAATGCAATTAGTGTTAGCTTTACCATGATTTAATAAAAGTATTTCTTGTTGTGTTTAGTAGCATTTGTAGTAAGGAATGTATACTCACATACAAAGGCCATTTTTTCTTAAAAGCCTGTGTGGGATTTAACAGTACAAAGGGGAATTGCCATTTATTGAACGTATATGCCAGGTCATGTTACTTACATTATTGCAGTTTGCATACATGCTTAGCAATTCTAAGAGTTTCTAATGAAGAAAGAGGGTAAATAAATGTCAAGGTCATAAATAAAGCTAGAGTGGCTCATAACAAAAAAGTCTGCCCAGTAACAAAGCCCCAGTTCTTCCAGAGTCACGTAGTCTTTGACTAAGGTGCCAGAATTGCTGAGGCCACAAGGATGTTCAGCTGGCTGCCACTGCTGCTTTCACAGCCTGGCCTTATGCTGCAGCTGCCCCGCCTGCTGGTGACCAACCTGTTCCCTGGTGAGCAGCTTTTGCAAAATGTGGGCCAACAAATCTGAACTGCATCCAAACTCTGAACTTGGCCCTTTCTGTGTTTTGAAATTTAGGCAAGGCTCTTTCTGTGAGGCTGAAGTCATATGAGGGCAATATGGTATCAGGCAGTAATAGGGTATCAGATCTTACAGGGCTGCTATCCAAAGTGAAAACTACATTTGTTGTGATGTGTATGACTGGAACTCCCAGGGCACTCATATTTTCTGTTCTATATCATTGGTTTTTTAAATGCTCATTGGAAATCACTAAATTGGTATCAGGACACTTGCCAAACCTCTGCACTGATTTTTCTCATTTTGGATCTCCCCTCCCTTCCCTCTCCCATCTTCTCTGCCTTGCTGGACTGTGACTACATCTTCCCTCTCCTCAGGTTTCCAGTCAGAAGTATGCAGATGAAAGAACAATATCAGAAGACAGGGAGGTTGGGAATTTATTACTCTGCTCTTCCCTGTTTCACTACTCTGGGTTACTACATAGCTCCTGTCCATCAGTCCTCCTTCTAGACTCCAGCTAGAAGACTCCAGCCACCTCTTCAGGCCATTGACTGTTCCCTGGGTGATATTAGTCCCCTGCCCCTGTCCCTACTCTGTAGACATTTCTTTTTTTAATTCAGTGAAATCTTTGGAGTGTGCGGTTTGATTTGTTCTCCAACCCATATTCCTGGTTTTCCCATCCAAAAGTTGAATGAGGGTGACAAAACCTACTGTTACGGGAAACTTGAACAGAGACATGGGACACCAAGGCTTTTCAGAAAGCAGTATTTATTAGCATGCCAGCAGTGGCTCAGTGGATTCCCATCCACAGGCTGAGCCCCAAGGACAAAGGGGTCTCACCTTATATACCCGTGCAAGCAGGTTACAGAAGCAAAAAAGAAGGTTTAACCCATATATGGTAGCATGCAGCTCCATTGACTACTTTACCCCCAGTGTTATGTAACCTTATTTATGTTTAGATTCTTTAAGTGTTCTCTTCTGTTATGCCATCTCTTCCCCCTGCTACTGTATCAGAACACAGGGCTGTCTGTTTCTCTTCTGGTCCTCCTCCCTACTACACTACATTAAAGGACTGCTATTAGTTACATAAAAGTAACAGTAATGAAAGTTTTAGTACAATTATTGTAATCCACTGATTCTTTATCCTGTCTACTACACAGGGTTCACAGAGAACCTAGAGTTGCATCATTATCTTCTGTCTAGACTGAGCCTGAAGAGGCAGCTCCTATTTTCGGTGCAATGAGCCTAGTGTTCTTCAAATTAGGATAAGCCTCGCAGCATTAGGGAACACCAGCCCCCAGGTCCCTTGAGTTTTGTGACTCAAGCCCTGGGGGAAAAGGAGG